GTTTACTTTTTTCAATTCTTAAACTTAAAAAAAACAAGTAATATTAAATTGATGAGAATTGTAAAGAAATTCATATTTAAATTTTCACACTCCATATACTTCTTGGTTAATAGTTTTGAATGTAATATATTGTTCACCTTTGGATAAACAAATATGTAGTAAATATAAGGACAAGGTCAAATAACCATCCAAGTTGTTTATCATTGATTAAACTACTTTAGCACTTTAGCTAAAATTTGTATAAAATGTATGGGGAGCTGTTAATGGCAAAAAAGCAAAAACCAGTTTTTATTTATTTTTATTTTCCTAGTAGAAGATGCACAGAAAGTCTAGAACTTAATTTCAGTCATGACCTCTCATAACCACTTATATGAGATAAAAAATGCTTGTTGTGTCCCATTAATTCAGATTAATTTCACAAAGGAAATAAAGGTATGATAAGGCCACTTTTGGTCCCTTGAATTTGAAAAATAAAAGATATCATAAATCTACCTAAAAACATGTTACAGATGTTCATAAGAAAAAAGTCTGTCATACATCAGTATTTATATTTTAAAATTTCGTCTTACATATTTGCGTAAGAGCTTCAAAACTTTTTGAATTAAGTGCCATAACTGCATAAACTGCATAAACTGCCAAAAGAGCATCATTTTGAGATCTTTTCATTAATATTTAGATATCATAAAGCAACAGCTATCCCTAAAAGGATATTTTGCTACAAGATGTAAATTACACAAATTTGTTAAAATGTGTATAAAATATCTTTTTGGGTTACAGCAGCTGCTCATATCTATTTTGTTCAAAAACTATGTGTAAAATTCTCCAAAGTAAACTTATTTTAAATATCAAAGCTTTCATATTCAAAATTAAGATGGCAATTTCTTCTTTCCATGTTAATTATAATCATCATTATTGCTTTTGGTATAGGTATAACCAGTATATTTTAGATGCAAGAATGTCAAAATGTAGAATTCAAAGATTTGTTATAATTCAGTATTAGTTAAGATATTTAGCACTAGCTTAAGAATTAATTTACTTGATAAATAATTAATATAAATCTTCACAATTTTAAATAAGTGTAAAGCAAATTATTATGTAATCCCCTGAGGGTTAAATGACAATAGAGAATTAAGGATTAGAGAAGTGTTATATATACAAAAGGGATTTCTTACTTTTTAAGATAATTTAGGTTATGTCACAAAGACTTGATATTTGGGAAAATAGATAAACTAGCATTATAATGTAAAGTAAATATATTGAGTATTAATGTTATGTAAATTGAATAATGAAAAACAAGATATATTGGTTGACCATGTAGTAAGGGACAGTTGTGTTTTACAGTTGTGTTTTAGACTTGAATTTAGACAGTTGTATTGGATTGAAATTAGACATGATGTTTTATTATGTCTCATGAACTTATGTGATTATTGTGATTAATAAATTATACTGAATGCTGAATTAATAAACAATTATATATAGAACTTTGAATCTGTGTTGCGTTAACATGTATTCATATAAAAGCTACCAGCTAGTTCCCTTTGTTACAGGCTCTCACATTACACATTTTAAAATAGAAAATAATGTCCCAAAATGTTTCATACACTATGAGCAAAGACATATTTATGATCCAGAATGGGTTCCTTTTGAAACTTGTCCCCCAGGACTTCTTAAAATTTTTCAAGATAAATATGAAGATGAGTGGATGAGATGTTATAACTAAAGATATTCAAGTAGTGTTATAAGCATTCATCAATGCGACAATGCTTATTCTTTTGTATCGTTGAAAAGTGTTATTTTTGTTCTGAATTTCTGGTTAAAGTACACAATATTCAGAAGTTATAGTGTCTGTTAATTTAATCCTGCCGGACAAATGTATTCATTACATTAGTAGTTCTTACTATTAGATCCTTGAATATTGCAGGTAAACGGCACATCTACTGATGTACTTTAAACCAATTTTACTTCAGATTATACAAAATGTACTTTATCAATGATACAAATAGAACTATCAAGTGGTCCCTATACATACATTGTATATAGGCATCACTATTTTTGAACTGTTGTCTTTTTTATTATGACTTAAATATTTTTAGTGGAAGAGTAACAAATAATTAGGGAGTACCTAAATAGGAAGTACAAAAATAAACTGGCGTACAGTTGTTATATAGATAAATTAGAAATAAGAAGACAAACGTATAGGAATTAAGCTAGAATATAAAGAAGGGAAGGTAATTAGAAATTCTTACATGTTGTATGTAATTTATGTTGATATTAATAAATAGGTAATATATATATTGGCCTAAAATTGTGGTATTCTAATGAATATTTGAGAGATAAATAAAAATTCCCCAAATTAAAATGAACTTAAGATAATAAGGTATAAGGGTTTTTTGGTGTCATGTATGATTATGCTATTGGTTGCACTTACATTGATGAAGTAAAGTACCAATACCCACAAAATGAAGAAATGGTGGACCATAAAATGAAGAAATGGTGGACCCGCAAAATGGAGAAATGGTGGACCCACAGCATGGAGAAATGGTGGACCCACAAAATAGAGAAATGGTGGACCCAAAATTGGTTAAATGGTGGACTCATAGAAGTAACCTCTAAACAGTGGTGGACCAACTTATGAATTTTAAAATTATTGGAAAGACAATGAGGGACATGATTTATTTAGCTAGTGAAAATTTATGTTATATTAAAACTTATAAGCAGAGATTTGTGACCTTAAGTGACATTTTATTAACCTCACATGAATAAGGATGAAGATGAAAGACGAGCGTGATGAAAATTGACAATAATATCCACAAAAATTACTCGAACAATTAAACAGAAAAATGGACCAGGTGGACATGTTTAACAATGTATAAACAATATCGTGAAAAGTAGTAACTTTAATTTTACTACAAGTGGTGTAAAATGTGAAAATTGCGTTATAATACATTTATTGCCTATATTGAATATGTGTTCAAAAGACGCTTATATATTGCTTATTTAAATTTTTGCTTGTTATGATATAGATCATTTATATTGCTATTATGTTATTTGAATCAATTTTTTTTCCAGATCTTAACAGATTAATTATATATATATATATAATAATTGCATACCAATGTATGTGCCTAAATATGTATTATTTTCATTATAATAATATATGATTTGAATGCTTATGTGTTTAACTTGCAGCTGATGACCAATATGAATAATATATCATTAACCTTATATTTCAGTTATATATTGCTATTTGTATGCCCCTTTATGCACCTAGAAATACTTCATGAAGTATGCAATGAGCTCATTGTCATTAATTATGTGAGAGTTGGACTTGTCAATATTAGTGAACTTCAGAGAACTTCCCTGATATGGACAATCTAAACTTGACCATTCCACATCCAGGAACATGTACATGTATATATATTTAGTAATGTTTTATTACAGGAATTAGTGAATTAATTAATGTTTTCACAATATTTTTTTTCATATATATGTTATATCTTATTGACAGGAATCAGTGATTCAATTGTTTCACAATATATTGTTTTATTTTATTGACAGGACTCAGTAATTAAATTGTTGCTATATAATATGTGTAAAATATTATTTTTTTTTTTTTTTAATGATGCATTTTGTATTTTAATTGAAGATTGCAGGAGCAATCTTGGCGACGAAGGGAAGGGTATAACCAGTATATTTTAGATGCAAGAATGTCAAAATGTAGAATTCAAAGATTTGTTATAATTCAGTATTAGTTAAGATATTTAGCACTAGCTTAAGAATTAATTTACTTGATAAATAATTAATATAAATCTTCACAATTTTAAATAAGTGTAAAGCAAATTATTATGTAATCCCCTGAGGGTTAAATGACAATAGAGAATTAAGGATTAGAGAAGTGTTATATATACAAAAGGGATTTCTTACTTTTTAAGATAATTTAGGTTATGTCACAAAGACTTGATATTTGGGAAAATAGATAAACTAGCATTATAATGTAAAGTAAATATATTGAGTATTAATGTTATGTAAATTGAATAATGAAAAACAAGATATATTGGTTGACCATGTAGTAAGGGACAGTTGTGTTTTACAGTTGTGTTTTAGACTTGAATTTAGACAGTTGTATTGGATTGAAATTAGACATGATGTTTTATTATGTCTCATGAACTTATGTGATTATTGTGATTAATAAATTATACTGAATGCTGAATTAATAAACAATTATATATAGAACTTTGAATCTGTGTTGCGTTAACATGTATTCATATAAAAGCTACCAGCTAGTTCCCCCAACCTAGCAAGATGAGTAACCAGGTCAGGAACAAGCATAGTACTGGCCTTGGTTATACATGTTTGTTCAATAAAGACATGTGTACTTTTATGATCCAGTAATAAATGATCAACTAGTGCTACTACTATTTTCTTTATAAGTTTTTACACCTTTTTATGACAGATGACAATAATGGTAATTACTCAATCCATTATAACTCCAAACCTTTGTAAAGATAGTTCTATTGAGGTCATTTTTCATGATTGTTTGTCCAGTAGGAAGAATACAATAGTTTAGTAATGGATGAAAAAATTTCTTTTAGCCTCTAGTTAATTACACATAGGAAATATGTTTTCAATAATAATAAATGTCTCATTAGCTAGTTGCTTTCTATTTCCAAACATACCTTTACAATTAAATGTTTTCACAAACTGTAAAAGATTTCCTATTTGCAAGTTGCCTGCTTTTTTCCAAACTTGCCTTTTAATTTTTTTTCACATTCATTGTACTGTGTTTTATACATTTCAGAAGTAAACAGTTCATAAAGTTGATGTTATATTTATCACTTTTCATCTGAGTTTCTCTAATATAACTTTAAAACCAATAATTGGTTTGAAGCAATTGTTAAGTTTCACTGGACTAGAATTTATATTTCTCCATTTTCAACCAGTTTCATATTACATTACTGTAAAATTTTCACAACATAAATTTATAAATCTATCAATTGTAGAGTATGCTGGCCATGCTTCAGAAGTTGTCAAGACATTGAAGTTAGAAGACTGGTCAGGTTTGGTTATTGTCTCAGGTGATGGACTGATTTATGAGGTAAAAGTTGTATGATATATTTTCAAGTACAGGGGATGATTGGTAATAATACACATTGAAAGGAAAGAAATATGATGTATTTATTCATAAAACAAAATCCATACACCTACTTACTTAACAAAACCATATGGAAAGAAACTTTCCTTTTATTGCCGTTCTTCATTTAAATGTCACAGTAAAGACTTCAAAATTTAGTAAAAGCACACAACTGACTGACAGTTCAGTTTGGGGTTAAATTTTTATGCCCCTGCCACAGTGGAGGGGGCATTAAATGTTACCCTTGACCACCGTTCTGTCCATCCTATTTTCGTTTCCACACCCTAACTCTCATCCCTATTTCATGAGACTCATACACAATGCTAAGAACCAAAACTTGCAGACATATTTCGAAATTGGGCAGTGAGTCATTTACCGTTCTAGAGTTATGCCCCTTTATAACTTTGGAAAATTTCAAATTTTTGTTTCTGCACTGTAACTTAAGTTTGCCTCATGCAAATTTTAAGAAACTCATACACAATGCTAAGAGCCACTATTAAATGTTACCCTTGACCATCTTTCTGTCCATCCTATTATCGTTTCCGCACTCTAACTCTCATCCCAATTTTATGAGACTCATACACAATGCTAAGAACCAAAACTTGCAGACAAAGTTTAAATTTTGGCATTGTCATTAACCGTTGTAGAGTAAATTATGCCCCTTTATAACTTTGGAAAATTTCAAATTTTTGTTTCTGCACTGTAACTTAAGTTTGCCTCATGCAAATTTTAAGAAACTCATACACAATGCTAAGAGCCACTATTAAATGTTACCCTTGACCATCTTTCTGTCCATCCTATTATCGTTTCCGCACTCTAACTCTCATCCCAATTTTATGAGACTCATACACAATGCTAAGAACCAAAACTTGCAGACAAAGTTTAAATTTTAGCATTGTCATTAACCGTTGTAGAGTAAATTATGCCCCTTTATAACTCGGAAAATTGCTAATTTTTCAGTTTCTGCACACTAACAAGTTTGTATATTCCAAATTTTATGACACTCGTACACAAATTTAAGAACCACAACACGCAGTCAGAGTTTTAATTCAGGCAGTGAGTCATTCAGTGTTCTAGAGTTATGCCCCTTTTAAACTTGGAAAATTGCAAAGCTTGAGCGGAGGCATTCGTGTCCTCAGACACATTCTTCTTTTATTTTTGCTAGCTGTTGGTAATTTTTTTTACATATTTGTTGAAATACACAGATGCAGAGTCATATAAAAAAGGTACATACTATAACTGGCAAAGATATCAAACACATAATGTCCTAAATAACCCTACATTCTTATTGTTGAATAAAGAAACAGTAAAAATATAGCCAACCTCAGGGCACAATTAGATACTGTGGATTCACTTATTTTTGTGGGTACCAATTTTCATGGATTAAGGAAAACTTAGTTGTTCATGGATACTTAATTTTTCGTGGTTTTGCCTATGTCTGCATACAAGCCTATAGAAAATGTGTCATTCATTGAACATTTAATTTCATTGTTCACCTGTACTTCAGCCTGTACCCACAAAATCCACAAAAATTGGTATCCAATGAGTAATAATGAATCCACAATATGTGTTCAATATCTTGCCAGGCAGTAATGCATGTATTGCTTAAATACTATGGATGGACTGCAAAACGATTTTGATAATCGTGAATAGACAGAAAGAGGAAAAATGAAGAAGCTCACATAATAAGTATTTGCCTGGATGTAATATTCAGTTTTGTATGATGTAATGTACTGTTTAGTTTCTATTACATGTATAAGCCCTAAAACTACTAACTTAACAACTTAAAATTGACTTTTAAGCTATTTGAATGATGTAATACATTTTGATTAAAAGTGACATGACTTATATCCTGTCCCCTATTATGGAATATTACTGATACATTCAACACTTATTGAAAATATATCCTGGTCCAATTTTGTAGTACTTTAGTCCTTTCGCTCTGTTATGTAGCTGAAAGAGGAATTTTTAATCTTGTAAAACAAAAATTCTTTCATGAAGTGAGGAAAGGGGGTGCCATAATGGCCTTAATATTGCCCCCTATATCAAGTTAATTATTTCAAGATGAAAAGTGTTTCAAGTTGATGAATAAACATATGATTAAATTCAATAGCACAATTTTTGTTACTATGACACAGCTAGGTTACCTTTACAATAATCTAACCCACATTGTGAGTTAAACTGTCAATTACCAGTATATTTTAGATTGATTGGATTGATTATTGGTGTTAAACTCCACTTTAGGTACTCTTTGATATATCATATAGAGGTCAATTTTTATCAGTTAAGGAAGCTGTAATGCCTGGAGAGAACCTCTGTCTTTCAGCAGGAAAACTGGCTATTCCATTCAATAAGATGGGAGTCGTCTCGAATGCATCTGCCATTAGTGCTGGGTTCGAACTCTCAACCTCAGTGTTGACAGGCTAGTAGTATATTTTTCAGATGTCAGAGTATTGATTTGTGAAATTCTATACATTATTATCACAATTGGCTAAAATATGTAACACTAGCTTAAAAAATAATTTACTTGATAAATTATTAAAAGTAATTTTTACATTTTTTGTTAGGTGTGAAGTATTTTATTATGTAATTCCCTGAGGGTCAAATGTCAATATAGAATTAAGGATTTGGGAAGTTTAAAATAAAAAGGAATTTATTACATTTAAGATTACTTTGATAATGTCACAGCTTTGATGGTTTGTCAAAAATATAAATTTGTACCAGACTATATTATATGTAAAATAAAGATATTATATAAGTATTGATGTTATATGTACTGTAAATTCAAAAATTATTGCGAGGTTTTTATTATTACACATAATGTAACTACTTGAGTATCGCAATAATAAGAACTCACATTCTGATATTAAATACATTTCTGTATGTAGCTTTTCCTAAAATTTCAAAAATGAAACTTGCGTTTTTGTTCATTCTTCAAAAATCACAATTATAAATGCACATAATAATTTCTGAATTTACAGTAATCGATTCAATAATTAGAAATGATTGAGTATATAATTGTTGACAATATCATGTTATAAGAGCCAGTTGTTGTTTTGTTCATTACTTCATGAACTTGTGTTATCGATACTGCTGATATTGAATCCACTGGAATATTTAGAACTTTGCACCTTTAAGATCACCCAAATTTTCGCTTTGGTTTGTGTTGCTCAGTCTTTAATTTTCTCATTCTATGTTGTGTTTTGTAGGCTGATGTTTGTCTTTTGGTTGTTTTTTTTTTATTTTTGCCATGTTCAATATTGTCAGTACGTTTTCAACATATGAGTTGACTATCACTTTGGTATCCTCCGCCTCTCCTTTGCATCTGTGTTATGTTAGCATTAATTCATTATATTCATAAGGAAGAATCCAGCTAGTTTCACAACTAACGTAATGCATAACCAGGCCAAGAATTGCCATAGTACCTGACTTTGGTTATAAATTTCAGAAGCTGTGTGTTAGCAAATTATGGCACCTTGAGTGTTGTCCTATCCTATTTTAAGATTTTACACTTGAAACACTGAAAAACATATGGAAGTGCCCTTTTTATACGACCGCAAAAATTAAAAAATTTTTGGTCGTATATTGGTATGACGTTGGCGTCGTCGTCGTCATCGTCGTCGTCGTCGTCGTCCGGCGTCGTCCGAAGACACATTGGTTTTCGCACTCTAACTTTAGTTTAAGAGAATGGATCTCCATGAAATTTTACCATCAGGTTCAATACCACAAAAGGAAGGTTGGGATTGATTTTGGGGGTTATGGTACCAACAGTTAAGGAATTAGGGGCCAAAAAGGGGCCAAAAATAAGCATTTTTGTAACTTCCAGACAATAACTTGTGTGTAAGTGTATGGATCTCTCTGACATTGTACCACAAGGTTCCATATCACAAAGGGAAGGCTGTAATTGATTTTAGGGGTAATTGCCTCAAAATTTTAGGAATTAGGGGCCAAAAAAGGGGCAAAAAACAAGCATTTTTCTAGTTTCATGACAATAACTAGTGTGTAAGTGTTTGGATATTTCTGAAATTGTACTACAAGGTTCCATATCACAAAGGGAAAGCTGGAATTGAGTTTGGGGGTAATTGCCCGAAACGTTTAGGAATTGGGGGCCAAAAAGGGGCCAAAAATAAGCATTTTTCTAGTTTCCAGACAATAACTTGTGTTCAAGTGTATGGATCTCTCTGAAATTGTACTGCAAGGTACCATACCACAAAGGGAAGGCTGGGATTGAGTTTGGGGGTGATGAATCATAAGGGGGTTCAAAAAATTGGGGGGGGGGGGGGGGGGGGGTTCTTTTTTTTTTCTTTTTTTCCTTTTTTTTTTCTTTTAAAATTTTCCATTTTAAGTTGGTTATTTCTGATTAATATTTAAAAGCAAATAATAATGATATGGTAGGAGATACACACCAAACAGGATGTGTAAATTATTATATAATAAGTATTGTGCAATAGCAAGAAATTTTCAATTGCACAGTATTGCACAATAGCAAGAAATCTTCAATTGCACAGTATTGCGCAATAGCAAGAAATCTTCAATTGCACAGTATTGCGCAATAGCAAGAAATATCCAATAGCACAATATTGCGCAATAGCAAGAAATTGTCAATTGTACAGTATTGCGCAATAGCAAGAAATATTCAATTGCACAGTATTGTGCAAAAGAAGATACTTTGTATAAATTGCTTATTTCTTGATCAATTTCAATGGGGTTTTATTCTTGAATTCTTGGGGTTCTTTAATATGCTGAATCTAACCGTGTATTAAGTTTTTGGATTTTGGGCCCCGTTTTTAAATTGGTCCACATTGAGGTCCAAAGGGTCCAAAATTTAACTTTGTTTGATTTCATCAAAAATTGAATTATTGGGGTTCTTTGATATGCCGAATCTAACCGTGTATTTAGATTCTTAATTTTTGGTTCCGTTTTCAAATTGGTCTACATTAAGGTCCAAAGGGTCCAAAATTAAACTTAGTTTGATTTTAACAAAAATTGAATTTTTAGGGTTCTTTGATATGCTGAATCTAAACATGTATTTAGATTTTTGATTATGGGCCCAGTTTTCAAGTTGGTCCAAATCGGGGTCCAAAATTAAACTTTGTTTGATTTCAACAAAAATTGAATATATGGGGTTCTTTGATATGCTGATTCTAACCATGTATTTAGATTTTTGATTTTTGGGCCCCGTTATCAACTTTGTCCACATTGAGGTCAAAAGGGTCCAAAATTAAACTTTGTTTGATTTCATCAAAAATTGAATTCTTGGGGTTCTTTGATATGCTGAATCTAACCATGTATTTAGATTTTGGATATTGGACCATAATAGGTGAATTTCCAATTTAAAATTTTTAAGTTCTTAGACCACTTTCATTCTGTGTCAGAAACCTATGCTGTGTCAAATATTTAATCACAATCCAAATTCAGAGCTGTATCAAGCTTGAATGTTGTGTCCATACTTGCCCCAACTGTTCAGGGTTCGACCTCTGCGGTCGTATCAAGCTGCGCCCTGCGGAGCATTTTATTTCTTCTTCTGGTTGTTAGTATTCAATGATCATGAGTTACAATATTTCTTGAAGGTTAACTTTTAGGTTCTTTTAAAGTTCTTTCTAAATATGGAATGTTGTAAATTTAAGATTTAACTTTCTTGAGTGGAGAAATATTGTAAATCACTAGCAGCAGAAGGAGATTTCTATATAACTATATCAATAATGAATATTTGTAGTTTTGTTGTAACACATGCATGCTTATTTATATTCCAGGTCTTTAAATACAGTTATGATATCTTTAATTTATTATGATAATTGAGCATGGTCAACTGAAATCTTGTGGCAACATACTGTAAATAAAGAATTAAAAATTGATGCATGTTTTATTGAATTCTTAATAATGTGCAATGATGGTAGATAAGAATAATACAATTCCTATGCATGTTGTTCAAGTAGAATATTTAACTAAATTAGAATGCAAGTTTTTGTTGTTGCAATGAACAACCTGTCACAATTTTGCAAATTTAAAAAAAAAATGTTAATATGCAAAAAACAATAAACATCAAGATATATGTCACTGAAAATCATACTTTTTTTTTTGTATGTGCAGCTGAATTCACTATCTGATAGCTGTTAGTTGAGCTATCTATGTTTGACAAAAGTTTACTACAACAGTTGAATTGGTATTCTTCTACTTTTCTACAGGAACTTATTTGAAACTGACTGATTTTCTACTTTGCTACCTTGCACCTTAATGTTGTATTATGAATACTGTAAATTCAGAAATTATTGCGTGCATTTATTATTGTGATTTTTTAGGAATTGACCAAAATGCGAGTTTAATTATTGTGATTTTTCCGGAAAAATTTGCATACAGATATGTATCAGATATCAGAATGCGAGTTCATATTATTGCAGTACTCATCCAGTCACATTATTCACAATAATAAAAACCTCTCAATAATTTTTGAATTTACAGTAATCACTGCATGAATATAAAATAACACTCTACAATGATATGGCTATTTACATTGTTTCTGATTTTTCCTTGTGCACATATTCATACTTAGAGAAGTAGAATTTAATTATACATGTATATACTACTTTCAGGTGATAAATGGTTTGATGAGTCGGAAGGATTGGGCCAAAGCCATCAAGTTCCCTATTGGTTGTTTACCAGGTGGATCTGGAAATGCTTTGTGTTGTAGTGTCAATTATCTTGCAGGGTATGTTAGTAAATATAATAGTTATCTTTATTCTGTATTGGACATTCTACAGCTTTGTAATTCTGTTACCAATAAACACTGTGGGGAAAACGAATTTCCTGGACAGTCAAGTGAAAATTCTCGATAATTTTGTTCTTAATTATTTTATCATTTACTGGTACCCATTGATAAATGCACCTGGACAGGATTTTGGCAGTGGATCGATATCAAATAGTATAATAGAAAGATGTCATCTTTATCAAATTACAGAAATAAGTCTGGAGATTTGTTAAGTTTCCACTGGAGAAACTCCTGTCCCTTTTGGCCAGGTTATAATTTAAAAATATGATTTGCATCTGTTCCAAAATGCAAACAAGCCATTTTTTAGACTCCATTTAAAATTAAGTTTTTTGGTTTATCTATAACTCATTTAATTTATAATTTATCTGAAGACAGTATATTATAAAAAGTTATCATAAACAGTCTTTAATATCAGGTCACAGATCATGATTCTCCATTGATTTATACCCATTTGGTAATCTAAAATATTATCCGCATGAAAACATCAACATATGGACAATGTCACCTTGTGGTAGGTTTTCATCAGAGTGAGGAAGTCAAAAGAGTACAGTGTGGTCAACTTTTTTAAGTGGAAATCTTATTAAATCTTAATATTTGCTTAATTGGAATTTTTATAAATCTAGGCATATGCATAAGAAAATGTCATGTGATAAGACTTTTTCAATCTCCACATTCAAACAACAACTATCCCGAAACTCACCTATTGGCTCTACTCTACCAATATCTTGATATCTGTAAAAATAAAAAAGGAGAAACCTTGAAAGCAAATTTTAAAGTTTTTTTTACAATCGTACATCAAAAAATAATTCCAAACGATGCTTTACAACAATAAAAGACATGTAAGAAAAATGAGAGATGAGTTCTGTTAAGATACAGATACATATCATACATATACATTAGGACAAATTTATAACAAATATCCATGAACATCATTCCAAGTGAAAGGATATATATTTATTTGTGGTATGTGTATTAATTGGTGTTTATTCATGTTTGCATTGTGTTAAACACAATAGTATAAAGTAAACTGGTTTAGTGGGTATTATAAAAGCCTATTCAGGTGCTCCTTGCAGTATCTTACTTTTGAGTTATTTGTTTTTTGTGGCCACATTTCAAGTTCATATAACTGTATGTGCTAAGTTATGTGTGCTATACAGAAATTACAGCATTCAGCACATAAAAATTTAGGTTTGGTTGAACAGAGTGAATTAAGGACATAAAAATGATATAGTGCATTGTTGAAAATAATTTTTTCATTACTGTTACCCTTTTATTGCAGAGAGCCAATGGATCCAGACATGGTGCTACATTCTACATTTGTATTAATAAAACACAAAATATTACCTATAGATTTAGTACTACTTCAGACTCCTACGGATCAGATCTACTCCTTCTTGTCTGTAGCTTGGGGAATTATAGCTGATATAGATTATGAGAGTGAGAAGTTACGATCCATAGGATCTACCAGATTTACCTTATATACAATTATGAGAATACTAAGTAAGTGTTTGTAGTAAAGTAGTAAATACTGTTCTTTAAGTATCCAAAGTTAAAGGAGTAAAGCAATATTCAACAAAAAGGTTTTTATTAATGCGAATATTGCGACTGGGTGAGTATCGCAATAAGAATTCTGATATCTGATACATATATCTGTATGCAGATTTTCCTGAAATCGCAGTACATGTATTAAAGTAAACTCACATTTTTGTCCATTCCTCAAGAATCGCAATGATAAACACATGCAATAACTTTTGAATTTACAGTATATAGCAAAGTATAGCAACTTCCCCACAAAATCATATGAATATGACCTACAATTTACACAAAATCATGTGAATATGATCTACATTTTACACACTTTGATATTATATTCTTATAAAAGTTATGATCCAAAGTTTATATTTCATTTGGTAAGTAACCTACAGTTCATTTGTTTTCACTTAGAAGTTCAATTTTAAGAGGTTAAAGTTTTATTTTACTTCCATATCTGTTTTTATCATTGAGTCAATTTTAGGAAAAGACAATGTTATCAAGTATGTTTTTTCTCCATACACATTTAATAAAGAGCAATACGTTTCACTTTTCAATCAATTAGAAAATGAATAAAGCTGTCATTGTAATAGTTCATTGACATTTTATCTTTCAGAGTTAAGAACATACAGAGCAAGAGTATCCTTTCTACCTGTCTCAGACCAAAAATTGAAAGAGAATGGAAAATCTTCAAAAACTGTAAAATTTCCTCGACCAAGACGATATACTATATTTAGTAATGACTCTAACCAAGAAGCTCTGAACTCAGTATATAATGTTGGTTGTGTAGGAAAATTCAAAAGTTTAGATGAGGGTGATCTGAGAATCAGATCTCAGTCAATGCCAACAAATATGTCTGATTATATGACACAGGGAGAAATACCAACAAATTCACTAACATCGAAATCTGACAACAAACTGTATGAAGAAAATGAGGACGAAGACAGCGGCCATCATTCTGGTGATGAAGCATTAAATGGTGATGTGGAAAATGGTCTTGTTGATTTTAATCTAAATTCAACTACAAATGAAGTCTTTGAAGATTCTGTTGACGAAACCATTTCAATGATTACTGAATCTGCTGATCCTGTTCCAAGTCCTTTGTTATCTCCCTTAGATGAAGATGTTCCAAACACATGGACGACAGTAGAAGATGACTTTGTTACAGCCTTAGCTATCTATCTGCCATATTTAGGACCAGATAATTTAGTCTCTCCAGACTCTAAGTTAAATGATGGATGTATTAATCTGATGTTGGTCAGAAAAGGAGTGTCAAAGAATGAACTTTTGAATATTTTTCTCCAGTTTACAACTGGTGAACATATTAATTCTCCAGCATTTGAGGTTATTAAATGTTTAGCTTTCAGGCTGGTACCGCTGACTGAGAAGGGTAATATTATGGTGGATGGGGAGCGTATTGATTATGGACCAATTCAGGGACAGATACTGCCTGGACTTGCCAGAATTATGGCTATACAATAGCTTATGCATTTAAGGAAATTTTACACTTTTGTATTTTATAGGGCATTGCTAGGTTTATATGAAACATTATTGAATGTTTTCAATCAAATAAATAAAAAAATTATTATTTTTAGATAGATAATTTATTTGCTAAGACCTGAAATTACAAAGCACGAAAGTATAATTTTCATTGACTAATTGGCTGACCTCCATTTGTTTGGTTGGATGTTGTTAAACTCCACCAACCATCTGATAGCAATACTTCAACATTAAGTTCTGGATAATATCAAACGAACAATATCTTTACTAAACTTAGTTTGATAATGCCCCATTGGATAAATAAACCCCTTTTATTTTGAGGTCACTAGGTCAAAAGTCAAGGTCACGGCGGCAATTGATAGATTGAAATTGGGGCCAAATTATGGTTTCTTGATGACATCTTTTGAACCATATGTCCAACCTTCAACAATCTGAGTTTGTATGGATTTTTAGATTGTTTTGTAAGGTCAGGGTCACAATGCACATGAATAAACTAAAAGTTGGGGGAAAAGTTTGTTTCCAAACAATGTCTTTTAAACATTAATCAGATTTTACCAATCTGGAATGGATAATGTGCCATTGGCTGAAAATGCCTCTTATGATTTTGAGTTTAAAGATCAAGGTCATAGCAGTAAGTAAAGACTGAAATAAGGGGAGTTTTTGTTTGATTTGGAAAACATCTTTTAAACCTGTGGTTTATCATTTAAAACAAATTTGATCAATCATCTTTACAAAATGCTCAATCCATTGACTTGTCCAGCAGTTTAAGATGACTGCAACAATATGTATGTATGATTGTATTAATGTAATTGTATGAGTATACTCTCTGTTATATAATTTGTGTGAAACTGTAAAGGGACCAATCAATTTACCTCTGACCTACTAGCTTATTTGAATGATTAGAATTTGTTATTTATCTCTGCACTGGATGTTTTCCTATTTGTAAGAGATCTACCAGTAGTATTTATTACTGTATTAGGTGTACTAAAAGGAGTAGTTCTTACATGTTAAGCCTGGTTTAATTAACTCGCATTGATTTATTCATACGGAGGTGGGACTTGGCCTGTACAAGATTCTGACCATATAGTATAAATTCAGAAATTATTGTGAGGTTTTTATTTATGTAAATAATGTGACTGGGTGAGAATTGCAATAATAAGAACTACCATTCTGATATCTGATACATATAGCTGTATGCAGATTTTCATAGAATCACAAAAATTAATCACAAATTTTTGCCCATTTTTCAAAATTACAATTATGAATGCACCAAATAATTTCTGAATTTACAGTACACATTAATTTCATGTTGAGACATACCTTATGTGTTTACTACAACCACTGTCTCAGTCTCACACATTTTTTTATGCCCCCGCCGTAGCGGTGGGGGCATTAAGTTTTACCCTTGTCCGTCTGTACGTACGTACATACGTACATACGTACGTACGTCCGTCCGTACGTCCCAAAATTGGTTTCCGTTCTCTAACTTGAGTTAGCCTCAACCAAATGTTATGAAACTTATACACAATGCTTATTACCACAAAACACAGATCAAGTTTGAATTTTGGTGGCGTCACTTTAACTGTTCTAGAGTTATGCCCCTTTATAAATGGAAAAATTGCTAAATTTTTAGTTTCCGTTCTTTAACTTAAGTTTGCCTCAACCAAATGTTATGAAACTTATATACAATGCTCATTATCACAAAACACAGATCAAGTTTGAATTTTGGTGGCGTCACTTTAACCGTTCTAGAGTTATGCCCCTTTATAAATGGAAAAATTGCTAAATTTTTAGTTTCCGTTCTTTAACTTAAGTTTGCCTCAACCAAATGTTATGAAACTTATTCACAATGCTTATTACCACAAAACACAGATCAAGTTTGAATTTTGGTGGCGTCACTTTAACCGTTCTAGAGTTATGCCTCTTTATAAATTGAAAAATTGCTAAATTTTTAGTTTCTGTTCTCTAACTTAAGTTTGCCTCAACCAAATGTTATGAAACTTATTCACAATGCTTATTACTACAAAACACAGATCAAGTTTGAATTTTGGTGGCATCACTTTAACCGTTCTAGAGTTATGCCCCTTTATAAATGGAAAAAAATGCAAAATTTTTATTTTCTTCTAAATATCAAGTTATTTTTTTTTAAATTGGAGTTATCTTCCTTTGTCCATGATTATAGTTGAATCAACTACAATCAATGCTTTATACAATGCAATGTTTAATTTTGACTTCCACTGATAAAACACAGATCAAGTTGAATTTGGGTAGTGTCACTTTAACCATTATTGAGTTATGCACCTTTATAAATAGAAAAATTGCTGAATTTTTAGTTTCTGTTCTCTTCTCAAGTTAGCCTCAACCAAATGTTATGAGACTTACACACAAAACTCAGATCAAGTTCAAATTTGGGTAGCATCACTTTAACTGTTCTTCAGTTATGTCCGTTTATAACTATATGATATGCAAGCGGGGGCATCATCTGTGTCCACATTTATTTTTTTTTTTTCATTTGGGTTATAATGAAATTAGAACTAATCACCATTATAATGATAATGAGGATCAAATGAAAATCCATATATGTTTAAGTGTTTTAAGTATAGAATAATACATGGCAAAATCTGTATCGCATGCTGTATCACCACGAGAAACCAATATCAGTCCCGAGGGCTTATATTGGTCGAGTGGTGATACAGCATGCGATACAGATTTTGTCATGTATTATTCTGTTTATCATATTTTTGAATAGACTCAGATTAATGTGATATACGTTTTTTTTTAAATCATCCGAAAATATAACAAACAAAAGAAGATAAGGATTTTCCTGTATTTTCCAGCTGACTTAGTTTTTTTATAGACTTCTTTATTTGCTTAATATCCACATTGTAATGTCCCTACAACCTTATTACATGCTCAATATAGAGCTATGAAACTGGCAAATAATATACTTTAAGACCATGTATTTAAAAGCATTCATTAACAATAGTGTCAACTGTTCCCTCCTGTAGAATACAACCCACCTTCCCAATATTTGTTGTTAAGTTTAATCATTATACTACAATCTGAACTCATTTGTATACATAAATATGGACAACAATGTTACCAAGTATCATCTATTCAAAGATTATTAACAGACAAACACATATACACAGTCATTGGACAAAAGTGAGTTCCCACGAAAAAACTTAATTGTATCTATTTTATAAAAATCGCTTATAAAGTTACTGGGTAATATTTTTTTTGAAAAATATCGATTTTAGTTAAAATGATGTGACATTTCTTGAGTGGGAACTCACTTTTTTCCTATGCCAGGAAATACAGCAACTGGACATTATAGGTCAAACGTTGACTTCATTTGATTTATGATGTCACGCCAGGTATGCGATACAGGGTATGCGATACCGGTTTAGCTATGCGATACGGGGTATGCGATACAGGGTAGGTGATACAGACTGGAAAAAAGAACCTTTATTAGATATACAAAGTTGCTGTATTTTGTACTAAATATATGATAAAGGCAAATATCTGCTGAACTGGATATTCACTGTGAACATATACTTTTTGGATCCTCAAATTATTTTTTCTTGATTGCCATTCCAGTATTTTGCTCTGTTATTTGTTGTAGCTTTTATTTTTATATTAGTTGGTTGCAACACAGAAAATCTAGCAACACTGACCTGTACATTTCACAATACAACTGTTGCTAGATTTTCTGTGACAATTTTATTTTTTTCTTGTTTGGAAATCTGTTTCTGTTTATCTTTATCTAATCATTTTAAGAAATGCTAAAAAGATTTGTGTGATAATGAATAGGTTTTTGTAATTTTTATGATAGAACAAATGTATTATTTATAGTATTTTAATTTATTGTGTAACAATTAATCCATACAAGTTTTAGCCAAGTGATTGACATGGCATTTATTGTTATCACTACCCATAAATTCAAACCCTTATTTCAATTTTTTTTTTTTTTATTAGTTAATTTGGGATTTTGGGATTTACTCCGGTCCTTTACTTTTGCGCCAATTGGCATTTTATTTGCGCCAATATAATCTTTCATTTGCGACACAAACCATATTTCATTTGCGCCAAAATAAAACATGCCATTTGCGCCAATAATACAGGTAAATATAGTTAAAGAAAGCATTATACACTGGAGTAAATCCAAAAGTTTGTTCTGTCACAAGACTTGTAAGTAATGGCTCGGATGTACTCGTGTACACTGGATAACTTATATGTGTGGTCATAAAAAGTTACAGACTTATTTCCTCTATATAAAAATAAGGAGATGTGGTATGATTGCCAATAAGACAACTATCCACCAAAGTTCAAATGAAGTTTATGAAAGTAATTATAGGCAACTGTACGGCCTTCAAAAATGAGAAAACCCCATACTGTATAGTCGGCTATAAACAACCCGACTTAAAAAATATGAAACAATCCAATTGTGAAAACTAACGGCCTGTTTGTCTCAGAATTGACAATGTCCATCTTGACCACTCAAACATGTGAACACTATACAGTTATATACCTAACTGACTCAGTTTTATATTAGAAATAAACTTACTTAGTTACCCAGGGGGAATACTCTAAAAAAATTCTTATTCACAATGTAGCAATGAATATTTTAAAGTGTTCTGTTATATGTTACCTGAAAAATGTAGTTTTATTTTTTTGGCTCAAATGAAAGATTGGATTTTGTAAAAATTGGTGCAAATGCAATGCGCCCATTTACTCATTTAAAATTCAACAACTGAATTCTCTTTATGTAGTTTTGAACTTGTTAACTTAGGTTTTCTTGAAAGGACAGTTATGAAATAGTGGCCCTTTTAATTTTGTTGTTTTACCAAATGGTAATTTCCAACTTGTGGGACTTGGTCACAAAATATGAATAAGACAATTTTTTATGTGAATTTCTCCCTGTAGAGTTTCTCTTAGATGTTCATAAATGCTTAGTATCCCATTTCCTTAACATTTCAACATGGAATATCTCTGAAAATATTAAATAACACAGGAAATAATTTGACTTTTAGTATCCAACATTCTTAAAAAGAAATGTCCCACATCCCATAACTTAGCAGTATTAATATCTTATTTCCCCTAAAATAAAAAGAAGTATGAATATACCACATCCCTCACCACTAAACTGAATGTTCTCAGATGTAAATACATACATATACACTCACAAATTTTATTGAGTGTTAGATATTCACATTTACAGTACTCGCAATGGTGATATACTGTTGACTAGATAATCAATTGCATACACAGACATAAATGGAAGTGAATGCTCCCCATAATAAATGAAAGAGGTAAATCATTTATGTTGCGTGACAGTGTCCAGCTATGGCTAGCAACACATAACGATGATCACTTCTTTCATCTGTCTCGTCCATGTTACTTATTTGTGTAAATCTGAAAATCTGTGACTCACTTATGCCGTAGAAGACACTCATTTTATTCTGATTTATTGAAAAATGGTCATTGTCAAGCTATTTGACAAAAAATGTAAATGAATATGCGTTTTGATATGTGATATTTTAAATTAATCATGTATTAGATTCAAAATGGAATTTAAAATTGATATACATATTCTTTCTTCAAAATGTCTATTTTTTAACATCCTTTGGGATAACTTAACTTTCAAAATAGCAGAAACATGGTAATGACGTATTATATATAAACTAATTCTATTGGAAGAGAGGAATATTGCTCATTTTTGTCTTAACTATGAGATATTTAATAAATTATTTCCTTTGACAGAGGTTTTTTTTCTAGAAATAGAATCTATTTATAGATATTTTCTGGTTGATCCAGTATTTAAAAATTTGGGCTGGAACCCAATCTTATATACACAATATATAAAGTTTACATTATATTGGTCTCAGTGAATTATGCTGGCTCATATTGAGTGTTTTAATTAACTCAAATACCACAGACCTATTTTGTGTGATATCATTTAAAAAATATTTTTCTGTCATCTCTGTTACGGATAAGATATAAATAAACATAGCCATGACCTATTTATATATATGTGTAAAAAAAATAGTGATGTTTTAACTTTTTTTTCACAACTATTTTGGTCCTGTATGGTAGGATAGCAAAAGTATACAATTTATGAAGAAAAAATAACATTTTGTATTCTTGATTATTTTACTGGTGTCAGGAATGCATGTAATTTTGTTGTAAAACCTTGAAAGGATCTACTGCAAATTTTAAAGTCCATATGTATTTAAGTGGAACAAAATAATTATGGAGGGACCAGGAATGATAATAAAATTTCATGAACTCATCATTTGATATCACTTTTATTTTATCATCTTTTCGTAAATTTTAAACTTTTTTCTCTGAAAACAAAATAAATGAAAAGAAAAAGTTAGTTAAGAGCTATTTTCCTAATGCTTGTAATTGAAAGGTTTGGTTAGCTTGCTTGCTTTGTTTGTATAAATGTTTGCTCAAGCATTGTTATTAAGATTGACATCTGCAATCAATAGATAGGTGGGGCTTCAGCTTGTAGACATTATACTCTGCATTATACTTAACATCCAATAATATTTAAGTACCATAATGTATACAAGCTAAAGCCCCGCCTATCTATTCATTGCAGATGTCAATCTTAATTACAATGCTTGAGAAAACATTTATACAAACAAAGCAAGCAAGTCAACCAAACCTTTAAACTACAAGCATTAGGGAAAATAGCTCTAAGAACTTGTGAAAATGTGGGCTTTTGGTATCATTCCTTGTCCTTTTAATAATTTGTGTCATTGGATGTTGTGCATGATAAACAGTTTCAGGGTTATCCAATATGAAATAAACTTTGAATGATAAATATGCAATTCTATTGTACTAAATATTGATATACATATCAAGACTATCTACCAGTTGAATGAAATTTGTATTATAGTTATTAATTGAACATAATTCCTTCCATTTTATTGATTTTTATCCACTGTTTTGCATTCATTCTCCCAACATACAAATGGAAGTTTTCACAAAAAATCTTCAAAGATTAAATTGATCATAAGGCATTCTGAAATTTTCATGACTTGCAAGTATTTTTACTTATAAGAATTTTTGTGAAATTTCAAATAAAAAGATGACATCAGATTGATTATGATGTTAAATAATTACTAATAAAGAGAATGGAGGTTATTTTGAGGGTCTTGGCAGAAATCACCTCAATTATCTTTGTTTTGTTAAACTTACTGAGGTACATGTACTAGCAATATTTTTTGTCTTGACCTTCAAAATGATTTTGTTAATCTATTTAACTTGTTTATATTATGGTTCACATTATTGGTTTATTTAAAAAAAAAAAAAAAGTAAAAAAAAGAAGGAAATGGAGATGATGTTGTTGAAAATATCTGTATTTTTGTAATTTTATAATAATTTGGAAAAAAATTTAACAATGTTGACATGTTTGTTCAGAGTCCTATCACTTTCAGATCCATATTTTTCTTAGCCTCATTTTACATTTGTAAAGCATCTAGTTGAAAAAGAAAATTCTATTGTTGGCACAATTTTTAATCAATCTATAAATAAAAATCTCATGACTTGCAAATTATGTAAACAAAATCACAGATAATTTTATTTCGGTGAAGAAACACCTTTAAGCAAACAAGTTCATGATGCAGTACCATACACAATTTGTATCTTAGAATGGTAAACAACTTATAATGACGCACATGACTCACAGTACCAATTTTTGTTTTAGAGAAATCAAATATCTGAACTTATTTCAGTAAATTATAGGTGCTAATGTAGAGTAGATAGAGGATGATAAGTTCATCTTAAATTATGAAAATATAATAATTACACCACATATAGACAGATTTTGACAGAATATATTTTTTAATATGCTTTTTATGTCAGTTATGATTTATATTTGATTTGAATCCCATTATTGGAACATTTTGTTGTGACTTAATTTTAATTGATCTCTTTATTTTGGTTTTATTTCTGTAAATCAGTCTGCATTAAACATTTCAACTTTGATCAAACTCTTTTATTTTTATTTTACTTACACTCTAGTTATATTTTACCCCACTCTAGCAGTTGGGGCTATATCAGTATACCCCCACTCTAGGAGTTCTGGCTATATTGCTTTCTCTTTGATCATCTGTTGTTTTTCATCCATCCCTTAATTCAACAGTTATTTCGGTCCCACTTTTCTTAGCTACTACTGAACAGACTGACTTCATATTTGTCAGCAGCTTGACATTGATGATGTGTAATGTTTGTGTGCTCAGATCTGTCACACACCTACTTCCTGTTCAGGACTGCAACCACTAGTGAACTATGAATTGATTATCCTTCTGCAAAAAAATTATTAGTTAATCAAAAAAACGTTACCCATTCACAACTCCACTGGGCTCGAACACTTTTTGCAATTTGAATTCAATTCTTCAAACCATTCAACTGACGAAACTGTTATCTTAGAAATACAACATCATGGTAAAAAGAAAAACAAGAGTGCACATGCTGAAATGTCTCGCCTGCTTTACTTATTAGTGATGAGGTAATGTTGAAAGTCTGTAATATGAAGGTTTTGCTACAAGTATCGCATACACTTAACATTATCAATGATCCTTTTAAATGAGGCCATGGTCAGATCAATCATGCCTGACAAACTTGTACACCGTACAATCATTCCATATATAACATATATAGTTAGCCTTTTGCTTATAGTATCTGAGAAACAGACCTAATTAAGCAAGCTGAACATTGACCAATGAACCATAAAAATGAGGTCAAAGTTAAATGAACCCTGCCAGACAACAGGTATATCATGCAATCATTCCATACACCAAATATAGTTGACCTATTACTTATAGTATCTGAAAACAGCCATAACCATGAAAAATCATCATTCACCAATGAACCATTAAAATGAGATCAAGGTCATATGAAACCTGCCAGACAGACAGGTAGACCTTATAATTATTCTATACACCAAATATAGTTGACCTTTTACTTATAGTATCTGATAAACTGACAAAAGCATGAAAAATTGAGCATTGACCACTGAACCCTGAAAATGAGGTCAAGGTAAGACAAAACCTGCCAGTTGGACATGCACACCTTATAATCATTCCATAACCCAAATATAGTTGACCTATTGCTTATAGTACCTTAAATACAGACTTAACTACGAGACCTTGATCACTGATCCATGAGGTCAGGTGAACCCTGTCTGACAGACATTTAGACCTTGCAAGGATCATATATACCAAATATAGTTATCTTATTACTCATAATAAACAAGTATTTCACATAACAAAAAAACTTTACATTTTTTTCAAGCAGTCACTGAACCATGAAAATGAGGTCAAGTGCAATGGACATATGCCATAGGGAAACTTTGTAACAAAAAGCATCTGCATACAAGGTATGAAGCATCCAGATCTTTTATCTTCTGAAATATAAAGCTTCATACAATAGAACAAGCTAAAATCTTAGGGTGAACTTATGTGCACAAGCCAAAATCCGGTGGTAAATCAAATTTGGGGATGTCATAAATGAGGAAAGAAGGACAGGCTTCTGGATTAACAAATGGAACATATCAGTAGTCAGGTTTAATAACCAAAACATGATGAGTATCATTAAAACATTTGATACTTGCATAATACTGTTTTTACTGTCATGTTTAGTACTGACTTACTGGAGTGTAAAAATTAGGTCAAGTCCATTTGACATGTTAGATGAGACATACTTCTCATAACCACTTCACATACCAAATATTAGAGACCTATAAAGTATAAATTAATCCAACTAAAACTTAACTTGACCACGGGCTTGTGTAATGAGTTCAAGGACATCTGACAATGATTGGCTGACATAAGTCTCATTATGAACATCATCCATACAAAAAGTTTTTGTTAACCTTGGTGAAAATCTGATCTAAGATATTGAGGTATCTGCAAATGTTAATGCTGGCACAGTTAACCCTAGAAAAGTATTTACTACAACTTTCATCGCAGGTATAACAAAAATCATTCATTAAAACTTGATGTACAATGCTTTCATCTACTGATATTCATTTAGACAGGCATGAAATTGTTGAAAGAATCAACATATGCTTGTATAATTTTTTAATAAATATTGATATCACAGACTATTTTAAGTATAAAACTTGTAAAATTCACAACAGTAAAATTATCATACCAAAATAATGTTCTGATACAACTTAGTGATGCTGATGAAAAAATATATAATATAAATTTAGTCCGAAATGTATTACCTGTATTCATTGTATGCTGCAATAGTTACATGTTAACAATGTTACAACAATAATGCATGAAAAGCATAAGAAAAATGTTTGTGCCCAGGTGTATCAGAAAACTAATCAAGCAACACCATTACAGTAAATCAATTAAAATCTAAAGCTTAGAAACATTGGAAAATCTAATGTTTCAAGTCCACAGAAACCCTAAAAACAAAAAGCCAAAAAAAAAAGAGGCAAACTTAGCAATGCTCCCCACATTCATTTAAGTGTAAATCTTGATACCCATACTGAATACTTGTAATTTAAACAAAATATAAGGTACAGGTGCTTGATGTCACAATTCAAATTGCAAAGTCAGTTGTATTTTGAATGACAATGGAGATTAAAATGAACATTTCTGTGATAGCTGCTAGCTATGATGGACAATTTACATCATGAAACACTATGCTTTTTTGGAAGTTTTTTCTTTATAAAATCAAAATTACTGCCCTTCTAACCTATCATACAAGTATGCTTCTAATGCAAGAAGAAAAACTTCTTATCATATTAACCTGCTAATGTTTTACTTCATATAATGAGATTTGATTCCTACACCCTGAATTTGTACAATGCTGAAAAGACATACAATTTTCATTTAATTCAAAACCAATTAGATTATTTAAAATTATCTTAATGTCATATGAAACAAGTTTCTTTAAATTTTAATATTATCGAAAATATTGAACCAATGCATGTATATATACTAAACTAAGTACTGTATGCATGTTTTTTATATTTATTCCGAATCTATAATGTATTATCGACAAATAATATTTCATTCACTGATTGTTGATATCCAGCTAATCAACTTTCGAGTTTTTCGCTGAAGTTTACTGGATCATGACATTAATAAACAATCAACACAGAGAACATGGAGCTCATGATAAATAAGTGAAGTGATAGGGCCATGAAATTCGTTTTTTTTATATTTTCCATGCGTTCCTATTTGTCACTTAAACTTTTTCTAAACAGTTGTTAAATGATTTGTTATATTAAATGTGTTCTTTCATAGTCAGTTATTACTATTTACCTTCTAGTGCACATTTGTTTACATTCTTTCATCACGGTTTTCCCCTCCTACTTGCACTATGTGGTGGCCGAAGTACTAACAAGAGGTCTCGAAATTATGGTCACTGCATACAGGAAAACATCGGCGAATTAGTGTATGGGAAGACAATAATTCAATATTAGTTCATTTATGAAGATTTTGATGATAAAACGGATTTTCTTTTACAAGAAAGTTAACGTAGACTTGTTTTATAGTAAACCTTAGTCATTCGAGTATATAAAACATATTCAAAGTTTTTTTTTATTTGAAGTTTCATATGACGTTAACTAAAAAATATAATATTTCTTTTAATATTCCGCACATCCATTTTTTTCATGTTTAATTACTTGCTGCCTATTATTTTTTACATAATACATCTATAGACTAGTAAAACAAAAACATACACTCATATGGTGATGTAAATTTCACTAAATATAGGTCCCACTTACCTATGCAAGTAATTTTAGATAAAAAATATGATGGTTTTGAAAGTATGTACACATACCTTCAATATCATGAAATAACAGCTTGCATTTGTGTTATGACATTATTTTTTCAACAGAAAACAGCAAAATACACATGTTGGCAATGAAAAATCAAGTTTGAATATAACTGAGGTACGTTTTGTGCAACAAAGAGAATGAGATATTTGAAATTGATTAAAGTTAAAGTTAAATTAAAATCTTATAATTTTTGTCCTTCAGTAATTTTCATAAAAAAGAATTTTCCAGATATCATGGGACAACATGTATAAATATAATGCTGAATAAATATCTGATAAAAAAATAAATGAATAATATATTCTGGTCAGTAAATTTATACACTTTAATCATGCTTCTATAATGGCCATTTCTCACAGATAGGTTTTAACCAAACCAGTCGGGTATATCCTAATACAAAATAAGATGATTAAATCAAATATAAACATGAAAACGTAAGAAATAGGATCTAAAACTTAATAATACTTAAGATGATACACGTACATGACAAATTTCAGGATATAAATTCCATTATTTATGGTCTAAAATTGTCACACAAGATTTAGTGCAGATGTCATAGTGTTTTCTTTCAGTTACATTAGAATGGAGATAACAGTCATGTATCTTAAGACTTGCAGGCATCAATTTTTTTACGGTCCCACATATATGATTACTGAATCAACATTTGATGCACAAAAATCTTCAAATATAATATTGTTGTCTTCTTGACAGCAGTTTAATGATAAATGCAAAATTCCAACCAATAAACATGCAATGTTAACAACAAAAATAACGTATAAATACAAATAAGGAGGACAGACTTGAAATGTAGCATTCAATGATTTTTAACAAAATGTATACATAGTTTGTTCAAGTACATGTGTAAATATGAACATCATAAATTACATATTAAAATCATTCTAATTCAATTTTTAAAGCTCAATCAGACTGTGAAAATTGCTTTCAGCAGATTATTTGATGTTGGAAGTAATTTAACTTAAGTTTTACAAATACTAGTGTGATAGATAAGAACAATTTGTCACATCAAAGTATAAACAATATGCCAGCAAAAATGATAGCAACATATATTAATAACAGAGAATCTACTTTCTATACTATTACCATTCTATTATAACAAACTTCTAGTTTAAAAAACTATCTTTTAAATGTTTATTTCCTCTTATATGAATATATTCCACAATTAAATAGAATACTTTAAGGACTGAACACTTTTTTTCATTTTTGAATCACACAACAGTTGCAGATTATATCAGACAGTTAAACTCCAAATAAAAAGCACTGCCTCATCATTTAAACATTACGTTTTTGTTGACAGGTATACCACTGTTTATATCATATAACACTTTAGACAGTTTTAACTTGGCACATAACTGAATCTTCTGACATTAATCTTCATGGGTTACTGTAAGGCATCTGTTTCAGGGTATATAAAAATAAACTTTCTTCCTCTAAATATTTCTGATCCTGTAATATAAAAGAGATCCTGTAGACTTCATACTTAAAAGCAGTCACACTTATCAAATGAATTATTTATCTAAACATGTGTACAATCAATTTTAAAAACAATATAAGTTGTTGAAATTTGGCGTTGTATCTATAGCATTAATGCTTAAAACTTATATAGCTGATAATTAATTGCTGTCAAAATCTAAAAAATTTAAAGGTCTGAACTAATTTTTTTTTCATTTTCAGGTTGTTAGCAAGCAGACCTCTGATAATTTCATATACTCCAAACAAAGTGCCATCTGAATTGAATTATTTCAAAATAAAACCCTAATTTTACTTCTTAGACCTGAAAAAATAACAGATGTTCCTTTATGATACTGTAAATTCAGAAATTATTGCAAGGTTTTTATTGACTGGGTCAGTATCATTATAATAAGAACTCCCATTCTGATATCTGATACATATATCTGTATGCAGATTTTTCTGAAATCACAATAATTAATCTCTCATTTTTGTCCATTCTTCAAAAATCGCAATAACAAATGCATGCAATAATTTCTGAATTTACAGTAGGTAAACTGTTGACACATAGATGCGTCTTGCCCGAGCGATATTTGATAATGCAGTGTAATGTTGAATTTGAAATGGCATGAACTTCCATTTGTGTTTTCCCTTAAACTTACCTAATCACAATATTTGAGATGTGCACAAAATAACAATGAAAAGTTATGTTTCTGAATTGTTTGAATATATAACAACATGAGGTATCAAGCAATTATTGTCAGTAGCAATTCTCTCTCTAAACTTAAATGGAGATCCTGAAAATTTGCAAATAAGGGACATGCCTATCTACCCTTCTTACAAATTTTGAAGGCATGAATAATAATAAACACTTCATTTTTATTTGTTACAAGTTTTTAGATGTTCACTCAGTGGCCAAGCTGTCTGTCATTGGAAATTAATTGTTTTGTCATTTATAATACTTTAAAATTTTAATTTTGGTCCCAATAATACCTTAAAAGCTTCCATTTTCCACATTCTAATAGATCGGTCAGCTTTAATAGATTCTGTGACTGAATTAAGTGACACATGCCCTGATGCTGGACGTGAGGTATTCTGGTTGTGAACAGGATAACTTGTGGCTGGCACTCCAGGAAATTGGTCAGTAACTGTTCCATTTGTCATATGACCTATGAAATCAAAAAAGTTTAAAGTTTAAAGTGATTAAAATATAGTATATTACAATCACTGTACTACTACTTCATTTTGTAAAGCATGTACATTAAAGTAAACCTGACATAAAAGTGCACTATGAGTGTAATCACATGTGGAGCAGAGCACCTTAGATCATCCTAGTTTTTGATGGGGTTTGTGGGGTTTCTCAGTCTTTATTTTTGATGTCTTCTTTGTATCTCCCACCTCATTTGTTTAAGCTATTGAACTTTCATAACCTGGTTGTATTTCAAGTCTCATCTTTTAAATATACAGCTATCAAAACTATAAAAAATTAATGAACACTTCATATCTCCTTACTTTTTTGTTTTGATTGTCAGTTGCTTAACTTTCAATGTTATTCTTTTTATAAATTACAAACACATCATCATCAACCATCAAATGATCAGTCTAACACTAAACAGATGTGACATACTTGCAAATGAAGATTCATTAACCAACGATCAGTGGGGAGAAGATGACAACCTATTTATTCATCAACAAAATCTCATATAAATTATCTTTGATTTTATTCGAAAAACAATAAAATTCATCTATTCCGGTAATAACTTACCATTTGTCTGCATTACAACCATTTTATTCCCTGATGAAGGCGATCTACAGTTTGGACATAGAGCAGCACTTCTCAAATTTTCTACTTCTTTCTTCTCTTTTGAAAGTCTTAGTCTTTCCTAAAATATAAGTGAAATATATAAAAATGCAATCATTTCATTATAAACTCTACATAATTCTGGGTAAAACATCTGTTTTTAAAACAAGCATGTGGACTCCAAAATGTTTTTACATTTTCAGATTTATCAGTGTGCTAAACAAAAGTTAGTAGGACGTTTTCATTTTAAAATAAATGAAAATGTAAATGATTACACTTGAGTACCAACCTCTGATATTTGTTTCTCTTTATTCTGTAGTGACTGCATTTGTTTATGTATTTTATCCAGCCTTTGATTCTCCTCAGCCTCTATTCTCTGTGAAGCTTCTAATGCCATCATTCCTTCTTCGTATTTACTGTTTGCTTCCTACATAAAACCAAAATCATGATTAGAGCAGCTCCCAACGAAATAATCAAAACATTAGTATAATGCGGTAAACATTCACAGAACTTATAAGTAGGTTAAAGGATTGATTAATTGTTGGGGTTTAACGCCACTTTCAGCACTATTGGCTATATCCTGGTGGTCAGTTTTTATTGGTGGGGGAAGCTGGAGTGCCTGGGGAGAACCACGACCTTCGGAAAGAAAACTCACAATCCTAGTCAATCAAGATTGGAGTCAAACTCACATCCTCATTATTGACAAGCTAGTGATACAATAAATACTTATACCACTCGGCCATCAAGGCCCCCTAAATAGGTTAAACCTTTTAGGTCAAAATTAGATAAAAATACCAGCCTACAGAAGAATGTTAAACTCAGGGATATAGTGTAAGGATGCCACTTAAATGCATAATGGATAAATACCAATAAGATCCATTACTTCAGTACATAATGTCTGCAGGCCAAAACAATCTTAAGACTTTAAGGTCATGTAAAGTTTATTCACTATTTTCAGATCTAGAAATTACTCATTTCTACAACTAAATATTAAAACAAGAAACAAGGAATTTCTGGGATTTTTCACTAAAAATACTTTGTGAAGCCAGTGAGGAGAAGGTAAACTATATGTTTAGCCTTACAAATACTTACTAAATAATATTCATCAACTTGTTCAGATTTCTCTTTGATTATCTGTGCATGTTCTATCAGTTCATCTTCTTTGGCCTTTTGTTTGGCTTTCTCTGATTGTAGTTTGCTTCTTTCTTCTTCTATTCTCTGTTCTTCCTTTGTTAATTCTTCCTTCCTGCTATATGATTTGTTCTTCTCTTCTGATATAACTTTCATAATGGCATCAAACTCTGTTTTAGCCTAAATAATACACAAAATTGACCAATTATAGTAAACGAAATCTTGCTGCACATGCACATAATCGTGTGCTACATACTATTCATTTTCCTTTAAAAAGTTTCTGCACATCATAAAATTAGCCAACATCAGGGATATCATTTCTTTTGACCATGTCAATACATTCAGTATCTATATAAAACAAGAATGTGTCCATAGTACACGGATGCCCCACTCGCACTATCATTTTCTATGTTCAGTGGACCGTGAAATTGGGGTCAAAACTCTAATTTGACATTAAAATTAGAAAGATCATATCATAGGGAACATGTGTACTAAGTTTCAAGTTGATTGGAATTCAACTTCATCAAAAACTACCTTGACCAAAAACTTTAACCTGAAGCGGGACAGACGGACGGACAGACGGAGGAACGAACAGACGCACAGACCGAAAAACATAATGTCCCTCTACTATCGTAGGTGGGGCATAAAAAAACTTTAAAACTTTCTGAACTGACATTTTATGAATATTTAGAATCATGTCTCACAGTGGGTCACATTATATCTATCAAAATAATAGAAAAACAAAGGATATGGGGTATCCATCCATGACACAAAATCATGACATGCACAGCAAAACACACACAAAAGCTATCAAACATATCAATATGGAAGGGCCTGGTAACATATAAACAGAGAAGTACCTAGGATCTATACATATAAGTCAATCATTATCTATAACCGTACTTTACCTGAGAAAGTTTGACAGTATAATTTTCCAAGTCATCTCTGCGTGTTTTCTGTGTCACCATAAATTGCGTTCTTTCTTCTGCTAAGGCCTGTCTTTCTCTGTGCAGTTGTGATAAAACATCTTTCTGTTCTTCTAATAGTGATTCCTATGAAACAATTCAAGGATATATTTAAAACAAGTGAATCTGTGAGCTACTGCTCGCTAAAGATACCCTTGCCCCACTAAAAGTATAAGGTAAATAGGAAGTTGTTGAGTGATGAATCTGAAAACGCATCACACGGTATAGCTGACTCATATGTACCCTGAAACCAAATTTCAGAAATCCTTGTAATGTAGTTCCTGAGAAAGATGCGACGAAAAATATTCATGGGACGGAAGGATGGACTGACGGATGGACGGAGAGACAGAGGTAAAACAGTATACCCCCACTTATTCAAAGCGGGGGTATAATAACATGTTGTAAAGAGATCCCAAAAAGCACTATTTTACAAAATAAAATGTTTATAGAAATCAGTGTTCCCACTCTTTTTGAAACAAAAAGTTCCAGGATTTCCGCAGGACATTAATCAATATGAAGGATGGTTTCAGAAGCCATACTGGTAAATATAGAGACCACAGTAAGCTTTTAACTATAAGACATTATTTTTGGAAACAGTTAAAAAAAACAAATAGGCTGTCTGAAAAAAACCCTCTAAAGACTTGTCATGGTCAGTAACTTAGTGCTTTAATCATAGGCAAATAAATCCCACATCTTACTAATGGTTCAAAGAGTACATAAGTAATTCTTAAGTGAACTTATAATCACGAAAGGGTATTAATTCTAATCTTAAAGCAGGCTACATAGCATTAAAAATTCAAGGGTTTTCAAAATTTTCAGGATTTTCACGAATTTCAGGTATTTCCAGCCTGGATTGATTGAAATAAAATTCCAAGCTTTTTCTAGTTTTCAAGGTAGGGTGACAACCCTGAAATATTGCCATAATAATTTTATATTTTAACGTTAATTATGCACATTTCCTACCCTTATTTTTTCAATATTTGTTCTTTCTCTGGCTTGTTGTTCTGTCCATAGTCTCCTTTCCTCCTCTAGTGTAGTCTGTAAACTCTGCATTCTGTTGTGTTCTTGTTTTAAACTCCATCTTTCCTGTAGGACAAAATTATCATATTTATAAATAATGAAAAAAAAAAAAACAGAATAATTAGGCAATTGATATCACACACATAAGATATAAACTTTTACAGTGAAAACTGTTTCAACTAAAACCCTGACAAAATTGAATTTCATCCTGTACTTAACTTATTTCAAATTCCTGATAAATATTTAATTTACAATGGGCATACTAAAACCATTTTGAGTACTGTTTACATAAGTTTCACCTTAAAGTATTAATTACTCAAGCTCAAAACAGCTTTGAATTGGGATACCCTATGAGTGACTTGTATTGAAATACTGATTTGAAAAAAGTTCACTTCATAAAGTGAATTGTTTTGTTTATTAATAAATCATACATTTGAATCAAAAAGCCTCACTAAAACAGGCTTATAATGGCTTGCTTTTGGACAAAAATAGAGTTGGTGGCTGATTTCAATCAGGATAGTATGTTTCAAGTGCTATATTAAAGTTGAAGAGCTTTGCTCTTGTAACAGATAGCAGATATCTACAGACAACATAGAAACATATTTCTATGACTAAGGATACTTTTGTCAAATTAAAGATGACTACACCACTGGTAGGAAATAAATAAAAGTTTATTCTTTAACTATTATTAATCAAAGTATTTATTTGCATTTTTAATGCTGGGAATCTAGGCCATCTAGGGTCCAACCTGCCACAAAATGAAAGACCAACATAAACATTATAAACATTTTCATCTAAAAATTAAGCAGCCTTGGCCACTGGGCCCCTGCCGATCTTTTTCTCTGATATGATCCTTACATTGTTGTCTTTTGGTTCCGGTAAATGTCAACCCTGACAAAGCTGAACGAACACCTTTCAAAATAGAACAAATTCTACAGTCCAGACAGAGTTTGATTTAAACAGGTTTCGCTGTATTTCTTTTAAATTTACAATCAAAGGAAATTACCAGTATTTTCTACATCATTTTACCAATACCTCAATTTTTTTGTCATATGTCTTCCTTTAATTGTTATTTTCTTAAACCTATGGACCAAATAAGAAAATGCAAATCTGAACTATGTAAAGTCTCTCATTGACTGATGCCTGATGACAATGGGACTGGACCTCACAATCAGCATGAAAAATAAATTGTAAAATCAAAGGTCTATTTATGTTATTGTTATTAAACAGATATTTCATACTGAACATAACTCATGATGTTGACAACACACTGAACACAGTTGCTATATATCTGAAAAAATATAAGCTTTGCCTTTGAAGATAGTTGTAGCAAGTAAGAATGAAAACTCACCTCATCATGAACTCTGCTTTGCTCTCTGATTTGTGTTTCCAATCTTGTAATAAGGTCCTCTAAACGTTTCCTTTCATTGTCATTATCATCTTGCTGCTTTCTAAGTCTCTCTTGTAATACTGTAATATAGTGTTTAATTCAGAATAAACTACTTTAAAAAATGATTGTTTAAGTTAAAAGGAATACCCTGACATTTTGACAACTGATCATATATATACTTGTTTAATTTCCTTATTTGTCTGTTTAGGAGAGCTTTAGCAATCTTCTCTATATATGGTATCATACATACAAATAATATTTCAATAATTGACCTTCTATGATTCAAGTTTCCATCCATAGTATTATGTACCATTAAATGGGATAGGTGTCAGGAAATGATACAATGAAAATCTAAATGTCTTTGCATACAAACTGGTTGTAAAATTCCTAAATGCTGTCATCACCAAAATAATATTTTTTTTTACTCATATCTGACCGATGTCTCCTTTTCATGGATGCTAAAAACCTTATTATATGAATGTAATAAACCTTATTCCTTAGTCATTCTATGTCCTTCATCTTACTTTTTAACTGTTCGTCTTTGGATCTAATAGCTATCTCTCGTTCATCCATTCCCATACTATGCCACTGATCTAACTTTTTCTGAAGTTCTCCAACATCTCTAGCATTAGTCTGTATCATTTCTACAGCTACTGCCAGTGATCTGAAATTTATCAATATTACATTTATTTAAAAAAACAAAAGCATTCAAATATATTGAATTATTTTTTTATTAGATTTTCAGCTGAAATATGAATATTGTACAGTATCATGTGAGTATTGCAGGACAAGAAATTCTTAAGAATCTTGATGAACTCAATTAAATTTATGACAGCTGTTTTGCTGGTCTCTACCCAACAAATGTATACCAGTACGTTAATTTTTTAAACCCTTCTTTCTCCTTTTAAAACAAATTTAATAAAAATAAGTAAGTGTTCCGTGGACAGAATCTAGGATCCTTATGTCTTGCTTTCGCTACATAAATGTTGTAGGCTCGACAAAAATGAAGTATACAAAAGAACGGATGTAATTAACTGTTTTGATCATGACATTAAAAATAGTAACATAGTAAAGAGTTTTATCTCTTAAAATGTTTTTTACAGACTTCACTGGTTTTCTTATCCAAATGTATTGTAACCTCTACCTAAATTCATTTTTGAATTTAATCTCCTTGACCCTCCAACCCTATAGTATCATATCACATGGTTAAAACATCTATTTGTCTTTAAATGATTTTTATCTAACTGACATTCATAGATGGCCATACCATGTGACATGGCTTACACTTCTTTGTGACTGTCTTCAGCTGACTTTGCACCCCTTGACACCTTGACCTTGTAGTACCATTTGATTATGGCTACAGCCTCTATCTGATTATTTTTTAATTTGAACTCATTGACCTCCTTACCTGGTAGTATCATGTGATATGGCTACAGCCTCTATTTGACTGTCTTTAGCTGACTTTAACCTTTGAATGGATTCATCATGATCCTTCCTCAATTGTTCAATTGCATTCCTAAAAAAAAAATTGGTTGCAAAATTTTAATATTAAGAACCATTATATCTAAAAGAAATAATATGCAATAAATTAATACACCACATATGTGAAAATGTCTCAGCTTCAAAACGAGCCATCATACATATCCAAGTTTACGATATGAGCAGAGAAATTGAGGGAAAGGCTACCATTACTGCCTACCTGAAATGAATTGTGCATCTGTACCCATCTACAAAGTTTCATGAAATTCTGTTGTGTGGTTTCAGAGGAGTTGCGATGACAAAAACAGGACTGACGGACTGACAGGCGGACGGGTCAATAACTTTATACCCCACGGATCCGTGGGGTATATATATAATACGAATACATCTGCCAATCTTTGTTTTATCCCCTTACAAATAAAGTAAGAATATTACCTATGAATTTCTTTAATTTTGGTGAGATCTTCCATTTTTTCTCTTTCTATCTCCTCTATCTTTTTAAAGTTCTGTGTGATTATATCGGACTTGTCTTGTTCTATTCCTCTTATTTTAGTCAAATGCTGAGACATCAAATATTCATTTTCTTCTCTTAGTCTGAAATCATTAAAATAAACTCTTGTATACATTCAGATAGAGTGTGATGGGATAGACCAATTAAAAAACAAAGGAATGGATGAATGAACATTAAGATCAATAACTGCTCATGTATCACAAGGCAGAAATATAAATCAAATTTCATCATTGGAAAAGTATCTTCTATACACTCATAAATGTTGATTAATTAATCTTTACTAAGAAGATTAATATCAATAATGTTTTGCCATAAGTTTCTGAGAAATTCCCTTTAACAAAATATCAGTCAAGTCACTCAAGCCTGAAATATAGGGTATAATGAAGAAAATATTTTGAACAGCATTGCAATTTTGAGAAACTGAAGGAGTGAAATGTCATTGATATGAAATCACAAATTTCTGAAATGTTGACCTGACCTAAACATAAATAAACTGTTTTCACAGAGATATGTCTCGCCTTTTTGTAATTTTGATTATGCAAATGTTGAAATAAAATAGCAATACTTTAACATGTAAGTTATGCAAATATTCAAAGTTTATGAACCATGACTGAAGATACATGGCTAATCAATCTCCATGGAAATGAGATGTGCCAATGCTAATACAACTGCATACCAAATACCATTGACTTATTATAAGTCGTTCCCTTTACACAAACCTAAACACAAACATTAACTTATAAACTATGTAAAAGTTTCAAAGTCAATGAACCATGATGAGGGGGTGGGGCTATATAATCTCCATGGAAACGATACTTGCAAATGCCAATAAATTTGCATACCAAATACCATTGACTTAACATTAGCAGTTCATCTTAAACTAATCAAATCACAAACTAATTCATGTAAACTAAGCAAAAGTTTCAAAGTCAATAGACCAGGACTGAGGGGGTGGGGCCAAATATTGTCAATGGAAATGAGATGTGCCAATGATTATACAACTGCATACCAAATATCATTGACCTACCACTTGTGGTTCACCATAAACTGACCTAATCACAAACTAATACTCATTGACCTACCACTTGTGGTTCACCATAAACTGACCTAATCACAACCTAATACATGTAAACTAAGCAAAAGTTTCAAAGTCAATAGACCATGACTGAGGGGGCAGGGCCAAATAATCTCCATGGAAATGAGATGTGTCAATGCTAATACAACTGCTTACCAAATATCATTTGACCTACCACTTGTGGTTCACCATAAACTAGATCTAATCACAAACTAATACATTGTTGACGCCGCCGCAAAAGACGCAGTTGGAAATAGCATACCTACAACTCGCTTTTTGACTCCGTCAAGGTGGGACAAAAACCTATTAAACCAAACGTCACTCATGCATGAAATTTAATTTATAGTGAACCAAAATATGCAGGACAGTATTAACATTGTACAAGACAAATTACTAAAGGTGACAAAATATTGATATATCAAAATGGGTTTTTCAAACCAAAATTGACCAAATTGGTAGGTATTACATGTATAAAGTGTTTGCTTTGCTCCTAAACACAGGTGGAAAGAAAGAAAAATGTTTAATGCAAAAAGAAAAATGTACAGCAATTTTTCTTTACCTTTTATAGAGAAAGCAATGAGTCATAATTGTTTAGCCATGGAGAAAAAAACGTGTTTACATAATAGCTTGTACCTTTTCTCTTTACTTGTATGTGTTTCTTCTAACATCTGTAATCTTGTACTGGAAATAAAATAATCAAACATATACAGTGCTGTCTCTCAAATTGTAGTCTTACCATTATGCAACTTTGTTTACTTCAGAAAGATTATAATAATAAGACAGATGTCTCTAGTTAGTAAATGTTATTCCTGAACTAGTTCCCCAAGAACAAACTTGAAAGGTCATAACAGTTCCCTCCTTTAATGAATATTTATTTCTGGCCCTTACCTGTCTTTTTATTTGTTTTACATCCGACAGAAACATTAATATGTGTTTATTTCTTTTCTTATGTGTAGGAGTAAATTTTTAGTTTGATCAAGAAAAGCTGTTGTTTCAACTTACTTAACATTTTCATTTCCTAGAAAATAAAGTATAAAAGATTGCATTCTGGAGAACATTTTAACTCCTGCTTTGCTTTTCCACATGAAAGCAATAAAAAGAAGCACATCATGAACAATATGATACGACCCTAACTTACTTGTAAGAATTTTCTATTATCTTTACTAACTTACTTGTAAGAACATTCTATATCTTTACTAACTTACTTGTAAGAACTTTCTATATCGTTACTAACTTACTTGTAAGAACTTTCTATATCTTTAATCTCATCTTGATGTCTCCGCTTTGTTGATTCTAGCAAAGAATTGGCACAATCTATTTCTATCTCTAGTTTTCTTATCTGCAAACAGAATACATTTAACTTGCAATGAGCTATTTTACTATCAATATGCAGTATATTCACCCAGGTAAATTCAAGACGAGGAAAGTAAAAAAAGCGGCAAAGTTGTATAACTATTATTTAGCTAGACAGACATGACAACCTTTCTTGAAGATTCTTCAGTAGAGAAATATCATTGATATGACATCCAAATTTCCACTGAAAACCCAATATTACCTTTATGCATGGATAACAGGCCAAAAATACTATACCGTAGGTTAAATATCACATTAACATTAGCTTAACTGATATTTAAGAACTAGAATAACCTTACCATTGCCTCTGGGTCCATTCCTAGTGTCATACCAGTATTTCTTGTAATTCTGTCTGACTGTACACTAGACATTGGTTGCTGAAATATGGTAGTAAATATATATATAAAATATGAGGCAGAATGATAGAACAAAGCATGTTGACTAGGTAAAGGTGAATAAATGTATATCAAAAGATAGTTAAGGATACAGTATAGGGCTTGAGATAACAATGTGTTAATCACATTTGTGTTCTGTAAACAGCAATAAGCCACATACACAAATGTGAATGCAAACTATTAATGAATTCAAAGAAACCATAACTCGGTAGACATACATCAGTCAGTTTTTATAATAAAGTATACTAAAAAAATTGCATCAAAATCTCATGAAAAGTAAATGCTGTCCATCAAAATAATTAAAGAAACCATTCTTTTTCTTGGCCTTCCTCAGCCCTGGTTTGGAACAATAATCATTGATGTTAAAATACATTTCAGCCAAGGATCCAGTAGCTAAATTTTTCTGGGTAGTCAGTCAACTAGATTCACCAACTGACCTGTGTTTTAATATACCAGTACATGAATACACCTATTTTTATAAATATCATTGGTATTTTACTCTAGATTTTTAAGAAATGCACCTAAAGGTAGAACTTAAACAAAAAGTAGGAACGAAGGTTGGATGATGATTATGATGGATTGGTGTTCAACTTCCAGTGGCAAATATTATATGCATATCAGAAATGTGATATGAATATGCAGCCTTCTTTGTACCAGACTGATCCACAAAGCCAGATTTTTAAGCTGCTAGGTATTAGTACATAGGAAAACATGTCAACCTACCCAGATACATTATTCAACTAGTCTTTGCTCTTACTCTTAAATGATGCATGCTTAGCAGAGAAGCAGCAAATGCCAATTTTAAAGAATTTCGAGCTGACCCAGCCAGGGTTCGAACCCACGACCTCTCTAACTCCTGTAGGCAGGAAAAGAGTAGATTAATATTCCTTGATGATTTATACAGGTGCAACATAAAAATGATCAAACATTTCTACCTGTGTCTGAAGCATCTGTTGATACTGTTGTTGTTGTAGTTGTAGAAATGCTTGCATCTGTTGTTGTGACATCTGATCTGAAGAATAGCTTCCTTTCTGCAGATACAAGAAAAGGTTATAAGTATTTACTTTGAAAAAAACTTATTCAAAATTTTATAAAATTTAAAGTGGAAGTCATTAATCTAAAAATGATAGGTAGAACTTAGGTAGATTCAAAGGTAAAGTTATCAGAATCAATTTTTAAATTTTAAACAATTTATGTTGTAAGTTAGATTTGTATAACACCACCATAGTTGTACATATACAATTTTGAACAATACTTTATAAATGTTTATAACTTTTGTCAATTTCAAAGATGAAAGTTTAAATTTCTGATTTAGAACTTGTCAGTTTGAAATTCATGTCTTTCCATTAAAGTTAAGGAATAGTAAATGGATGATGACACAGAATTGTTTATGATTTTTTGCACACAATTTGTACACACAAAATTTTAAAGTCACGTAATTTGTTTGGGGCAACATTTCTTACAAATTTTACTATTTTGAAGTTTTTATTTGTTTGATAGTGTTTTGAACTTCTTTATATATATTTTTTGTGGTGGTTTGTTGTATTCACTGAGGAACATGGAGTTCCTATAACAAACCTTCAGCCTTGAAACAGTTTTTATTTTTGCACTGTTCTTTTATATGTTAGTTACATTTATCTTCTTGTCCTTAATTTTTACCATTCTTACCTCAGGACTCATCTGAGCTCTAGCCTCTTTTTGCCTCTGTTTATCTGCCATACTGAAGTTAAAGAAATCTGTAGTTCTTGTTTCAGAGTCTGGTTTACTGGACAGAAAATCTGGTTCCTGTCTATGTGACAGGAAGTTTGGCTCTGGTTTGGTAGATTGGAAGGTAGATTCTGATTGGTTTGACAGAAAATCATGCTGACTGATATCCTTTTGCTGTAGTTGAGTTGATGGGTGTTCTGATATTTTTATATCATCAGAGATAGATGACTGTCCTGAAATTCATATATGATTCAATGTTTTATTAATGCAAAATATGTGACAGGATGAACATCAAAATAATTAAAACATTGTTTTATGAATTTTGTTGGCTGCATTCTACAACAACATGTGCGGGATTCACATTTTGAATAGATCTTCCATTATTGTTGGTTGTTGAATATTTGCAATAAAATATGCACCTATACATATATAAAACTTAGAATTTACAGTATTTAAATTGTCAACCATAAATCTTAATACTAAGGTAGGTAAAAGCAAAATAGTACAGTCAAACCTGTATTAAGCAGTCACTCTTGGGAAGCATCAAAAGTGACCGCCTAAGAGAGGTGACCTTTAAAATGAGGTTCTGAAAACAATTCTGACTCCCACATCGGCTATGGCCCGTATCAGGGCAAATTGTTTTCATGTTTTCAATCAGTAGAGTTATGGTTCTTGCTTTGGTGAAATTAAAGAACCTTAGTGAGCGCACTCACATACCCCATGTCCCCACATTGTCACTGGAGAAATAAAATAACTGTAAGAAAAAAAAATTGTATAAAAAAAAAAAATTGAATCATAATTTCCTGTCGATATGCACATCTACATAGTATGTCCTTATTATCTACAAAGTTTCATGAAATTCTGTTGTGTGGTTTCAGAGGAGTTGCGATGACAAACTGTTGCAGAGGTATATTGAAGCAAATAAGTTCAAAGGGGCGTAACTCCTAGAAAAAAATTGAATCATAATTTCCTGTCAATATGCACATCTACCTAGTATGTCCTTATTATCTACAAAGTTTCATGAAATTCTGTTGTGTGGTTTGAGAGGAGTTGCGATGACAAACTGTTGCAGAGGTATATTGAAGCAAATAAGTTCAAAGGGGCGTAACTCCTAGAAAAAAAATTGAATCATAATTTCCTGTCGATATGCACATCTACGTAGTATGTCCTTATTATCTGAAAAGGTTTCATGAAATTCTGTTGTGTGGTTTGAGAGGAGTTGCGATGACAAAAGGTTGCAGTAGTATATTGGGCAAAAAAGTTCAAAGGGGCGTAACTCCTGGAAAAAAATTTAATCGTAATTTCCTGTCGATATGTACATCTACGTAGTATGTCCTTATTATCTACAAAGTTTCATGAAATTGTGTTGTGTGGTTTCAGAGGAGTTGAGATGACAAACTGTTGCAGTAGTACATTAAAGTAAATAAGTTCAAAGGGGCGTAACTCCTAGAAAAAAAATTGAATCGTAATTTCCTGTCGATATGCACAACTACATAGTATGTCCTTATTATCTAAAAAGGTTTCGTGAAATTCTGATGGTGTGGTTTGAGAGGAGTTGCGATGACAAGAAACAGGACTGACGGACTGACGGACGGACAGACGGACAGACGGACGGGTCAAAAATATTATACCCTCCGCAACTAGTTGCATGGGGTATAATAAAATATGGCGGATTCCGACACTGTAAATTTGAAGAAAACATTCAAAATATATTAATATTCGTGGAGAAATAAGTCGGTGATACTGTTATCAATGGAAACGGAAAGGAGTGGAACATGAGAAATTCATAAATTCACCTCCTATTGGCCAAGCCCGGTTGCAAACATGTTCCGATTTTCCTTTTGACTTCGATACTGAACACATATATTTTTTATCATGATTATTTCGGTAAATAAAAACATTTAAATGACCGTTGTTAAAAATTGAAATGAATATTTTGTTCAAAAATAAGGTGACCGCTGATTTGAGTTAAATTATATAGAGAAAAAGTTTGGGAGGATCTGGAAGTGACTGTTGGAGGCAGGTGACCGCTGAAACAAGGTGACCGTTACGGCAGGTTTGACTGTATACAAGTATAAAATTTACAAAAGTCTCATCATCATCATTGTTGTTATCAAGGTCATATCTTTGATATCATATTAAACAAAGAATTTAGGTCCTACTTTGAAATGTAAGGTCTGCTCCTCTATCTGTACTACCAGATCTTGACATCTTTCTTCTGGAACCAGATTCCCAAGTTGGTCTACAAAAAGAATATCAAACTTTACTAATTACATACAACAGTATTTTCCATTATGTCTATAATATGGGTGATAAATCTGACATTAGTCTGAAAATTATGATCATTTTCTTTCTGGACTTCGGTCTTAATCAGTAAAATTCATTCATGTCAGTTTATTACATTACCACACAAAGTAATCTGAAAATCTTCAGTTGCACTTGTTTACTAATAATTTTTGAATAACTGAGGCACAAGAACTTGTATGGTTTGAAACTGTATTTTGTATAAACAAACATGATATGAAATAAGTTGTCAAATATTACTAGACAACCAACTAATTACAATAAGAAAAATAATGAAAAGGGGGAAAATTGGAAGATTTTTATCTTTAAAGTGCAAGACTGACGTTGACCCCTTCCCTCTATTTTCTGGCCAAAAAAAAAATTGGTTGGCTCCAGCTGATATCATTTATGAACCAGATTGACCAAATGTGTGCTAAAAAAAATATGCTATAAATCAGATGCCATATAAGGTGGAGTCTGAACCTCTTGATTCATGATTTACTGAAAACTTCAGCTAACTGTGAATGTGTTATAATTCATTGGACACTAGTTGCCATGGCGTTCATGGAGCACTTAAACCATGGAATTGATTACCCAAAGAATCCTCAATTTCCATTGAATTGAACTATGTTAACTCTAAATCTATTTAATTAGGATTACTAAAAGAAACAAATCATCTGAAATCTATGAATAAAAGTTTTTAATGTGCCAGAAAATATTTACTGCAGTTATTTTTATAAAGATGAAAATGTGTTCTTTCCAGTCAAAAGCATGTGAATAAACAAACAACTATCAATAAATAGTACTGATTTTGTTGTCTCCCTTCATTCAAAACAAAAAACACTTTTACATCAAAATGTTAGTGAAGTCACTACATGTTAATACACTTCTTATTTCAGTCAGCCAAAGTTCAAACAAAATACGAAGAGTTATTTTTCAATCTATCCTTCTAAATTCAGCAAACGAACACACTTCTGAAACAAATTTGATTTGCCATGACAAAATTCATGTTTCAAATTTTCTTACCATTGTAGTAACCACTTATATTGCAATTCAATGAATTCATCAAACTGCTCACCATTAATTTTAATAAAATTTGTTATGCATGCATCCACTTTAATAATATGCATAAAAAACATTACATCACATTAAATATCACAGCAAAAAATTCACTGAACATACATTTTACTGAAACCTTGAACAACTTTCTTTTTAACTGAATGTTCCTTTACATGAGTTTTGCTCCTGAAATGCATTTAATTTATTGACTTTTTTTTCCTTCTCTGTAACCAAGTAAACATCTTAGCATAAAACCGTGTTTAAGTATCATAAACAGTCTACATGTATACATTAGAAAAAATAATAAAATAAGCTGGATATTACAGCTGTATCTTTTGCATTTCATATTTAACATTAAGACAATCAAACCACTGAACAAAAGTGCATAAATTTCATCTAGTTTTAGTTAAGATTTTTTTTAATCTACACAAAATGTAAACTTTTTTTATATTAACTTACGCGTGATCTATCATAGCTGGAGTCGAAAATAAATCTTTTCCTGAATCTGATACACGACTTCCACCAAACAAAGGAGAATCTGGTGTTTTTCTGTTAAAATATGAAACATACATGTAAATAAAAAGTAAATGCAGCTGTCAAGGAAAGAAATGTATCTCAAAGTCTTAAAACTTGCACTTGTCTGTAAACTTCATCTACTTTTGTGCTGGCGTAATTTGTTTCAGTGAAAAGAAATAAAATGTACATGCTGAGAAGGAAAAATCATATTCAAAGATAGTTTATGCTATTAAAGAAGATATATATAACAGTTTGGAGAGAGTTAAAGATGCAGTTGCAAATTTTACCCCAATTGTTGTTAGCACCAAAATCTTTATGTAAAACCACTTGTAGGGGATCTTGGGAAATAAGATAAGAATACTTGTTTAAAGAAGAGAAAAATGAGGAAATATGCATTATATGGACATTTGTCGATAGTTTAAGACTACATTGACCACTAAATGTCTTTTGTTATTTTGTCGTTGGGTTGCTGTCTTATATTGACATATACCCCTTATATCCTTTTATTCATATACATTGTATAATGTTACAATTCTGCACAAAGTAAATCGAAAACTTTTGTTTGTGTTATGTTGAATATAAATAAAAAATTTACTTGAGATTATATATTGCATTTATTACAACTGTTTTGGAGTTTTCCAGGTTTTACTCATTCTACCCTAATCAATTAAGAAATTTGGTATCAATTATACCAATTTTGAAAAAGAAAGTGAAAAACTTGAGTAGTGAAACTGTAAATTATAAGGGTGATACGTTGAAGAAGGACTACTCTTCACATGTACATGAGACAAGTGTATACAAAGTAACATACTTTAACATTGAATCTAGATCAACTTCACCACCTAGACCTAGATAATCATCAGGTGACTGATCCATTTCAGCTGATTTCTGTTCAAACTTTGGATGATCTGCTACTTTAGATGTAGTCTGGGGTGGAGTAACTGGAGCAAGTCTCTGCTCTCCTGTTCCTGGTCTTGTTTCAGACTGTTTTGGCTTCATCCATTCAAACCCATCATCCTCATCATCTTTCAAACCCAGATACTCAAATGGGTCAACTTTAGGTTTATTCATTGTTTTTGATGGTGTTTTAGCACCTGGTGGTGTTGATGATTTCAAGGCACTAGTGGGTTCTTTAGAAGGAACATCCTTTGTTGGGGACTCTTTAGCAAGGGTTGCTTCATCTTTGCTAACCGTTTCTTTGGTGGGTGTAGATCTAGGTGAAGGACTCATGTGGTCAAGCCACTCCATTCCTTCTGGTTTCTTGGTAGCAGGTGATCTTCCTCTAGATGGAGGTTTATCAAAACCAAATATATCATCTTCATCTTGAAATCTACAAAATTCACAATCATGTATAATGGAATAACAATTTTTGCAGATATTTTTTTATAGATGTTTAGCTCCTTCTTGCTTACTTTGAAGCCATTTATTTTGTGATTTTATAAACTTTGCTGATGTATTTATATTAGAATAGATCAATGCTTGACATATTGGTGACAATTTATAATTTGCATTATTTTTTCTACTGGTGTAAGACCCGTTTACCAGACATAAGTAAATCGCTTTAAAAATTTAGTTGGTTTGCAGTATGTGCACTGTATCAAAATTTATAATCATATGAATATGTTTGAAAAATTTTCAAGAAACCTCATTGATTGACTACGCTTCAAAAATTGGCATGTAAAATCTATCAATTTTCTTTTCTTCTAAAATTGCTTTGTGTGTACTACATGCTGAAGTTTTGTGTCACTTGAATAATACTATAAGAAGAAAAAAAGGAAATTAAAAATAAAATAATACCTGACTGATCTACGAGAACCTGGTCTTGACCCCCCACTAGCTGATCCTGCTGATGGCATGTAACTACCAAAGGCATAATCTTCTTCATCTTCTGTAAATTATCATCAAACAATTTATTTTTTATTTTTTAAAGAAACAAAATTTAAAACATCAATAACCTTGATATGTTCTTAATTAAGAATTAAGCTATTTCATAAATGTTATCTTATTTTAACACTGAAATAAAATTCAAATTCTCTTTCAAAATCGCAAAAAAGATCAAATTACAACTAATCAAAAGAAAATACTATCTATAAATTTACATACCAGTATTCTTATAAAAATAACTTTGAAAAAGCTTATGTTTATGTCTAAAACATTACCTTCTTCAGGCTGTGTATATTTCTTATCTAGTACAAATTCCTTTCTCTCCTTTGCTTCCAAATGTTTTGTGACATTGCTGTCTTTTCCGAGTAACTTGTCAAACATTCTTGCTGGCTTTTCCTCAGAATCACTATCAAAATCTTCTATCTCTGCCTTTGGTTTAGAAGCTGTTGATGGCGCTGAGCCTTTGTCTTCTATTCCTAGCCCTCCCAAGAAATCATCGTCATCACTGAATATACCAGCATCTTCCTTCTTCTTACTAGCTGCAACTGAAAAATTTGACATATCCTCATATTTTTTGCTTTAATTTACAAAGGAAGTAATCAATTAACACCACTTCCTTTCAGGATTTCCAGTAAATATGGTACCTTACTAACAATGAGAAATACATTAATTTTTAACATATAAAACAGACCTGTTAAGTTTTTGGTATGTTCACAGGTTCTTTAGCTATTAATATAAACATATATTTTGTTAATAAAGTCCCTGTTTTCCAAGAATTTTTTTTTTTGTAAATAAAAAGTCTAACTTTACTTTCCTAGTTCTTTAAGGTTTTGATCATTATTAAATGCAGCAGAAAAAAATCCAAATATCTTTTTTCAATTTTGTACCATGTTAGCTAAAAAAAAATTGTTGTCAGATAATTACCATTAACTATTTATTAAAATATGCCTTTAGTTTATTCATCTGAATTTTTATGGTACACAACAATATAAGACCAATACCTTGTTTAGATACTGCTGTTTCAGGCTCTTCATCAACCTTTTTGTCCCCTCCACTCCTTGTTGGAGGTCTATCATATAGGTTCTTCTTAGGTTCTGTAACAATATTATGTTTTAAAGTTAGTTATCTAAGACACTTATATTATACTTTTTTTAATCAATCTCAAAAAGGTAATCATTATTTACTTAACTTTCAGCCAAAGTACAATAATGTAATTACTACTCTTATGTATGTCTGGACAAGCAAAACAACTTTACTATTAACAACATTGACAAGTTTTCAAACACAATACAAATTTATTTGAATAAGCAGCAAGAGTATTTCAGCCTTCAGAAGTTAAGTGTCAATTAAAAAACAAAGGAGATATATCAACACCAAAAGAAACCTTCATACCTTCTACAACTTTAACGGGTTCTGGTTCCTGTTTTTTGACAACTGGTTCCTCCTTCTTTTTCATTGAGGATCTTTTAGCTGCAGGCTTTGTGGCCCAGGAATCATCATCTTCATCATCACTTAATAAACCAGCTAATGGATCATCTTCATTAAACTCTGCAACATAATAGTCATGATAACTGTATTTTACTGTTCTTTGACAGTTTGAATATACTTACCCCCCAAATGATGTACAATCTATTGCTTTGACTAAGAGGAGCATATCAAAAACAACTGGTTTTAGTTTTTCTGTTAAACCATAAATTATCCATACTGCATGTTCAAATTGTACATTATTGATATTTACTTGTTTTTTTAAACTAACTAAACACATGCCTGTCAACCTCTGAAATTGAAAATGCAGGTCATGACCTGCATTGAAGAAGAAAATGTCAGTTCACAACGCGTACAAACTTTTTCGGTCCAATTTTAGTATTGAGAGGGGTTTTTTTTTATACACTATAACATATACATGTACCACTGAGTTTCCTAAAAATAATCACTTTTGTATTTGTTGAGTATATAAATATGTATCATTAATCAAATATCTTTCTTAAGCAATGCCCTTTTACTGTTTTATTCACACTAGTTTACTTCTTTTTATTAATGATTGTCATAAATTTACCCCAGCTAATCAATTATAGCTAATGTGCTCCTGTACACAGGAGGAAGATAAATAGAAAGTAGTTAGTGTGTTTCCTTTCAGTGTAATATCTAGAGCATATGGATTTGATTTAAAGCTTTTAAATTTAAGTGATAACAAAATTATTCTCTCCAACAGAAATGTTCAAATTGTTTTAAAATGATTTTTACAGGACATTTGATATTTGCAAATGGCAAATCTTTTAATCCGGACATAGAATTGTATGTCAAGCTTGACTGGCTTCAACTTTCTGTGGTACAATTAAAAAACAATCCTCGAATTGTTTCTTTTCAATCAAATGTATATGTTTTGATAGCTGTCTTTCAATTGTTTACCTTTCAAAGGAAAAACGCAGAGAAAACCAAAAGTATATTTGACTTCTAAATACTGGAAACAATACCGGTCAGAAATACGGGTGAAAACAGGTCATTTTCTCAAATCCCAGGTTATTTGAATACCTGGCGGGTATTGAAAAAATCCTGTGTGAAGGGGGAAATTCTCCGGTGTAACCCACAGAATACGGGTCAGTTGACAGCTATGCTAAACACAGCTTGAAAAACATGTATTTTTAATATATCTTTAATTTCCTATGTTAAATTTTCAACTGAATTAAAACCAATAATAAAAGGTAACTGATGCAAAACTGGTTAAGTAATTTGGCTTGATTTTGATACAAAAATATACGTCTCCCCACAAAATCAAAATAAAATTATTCAATCTTTATAAAAATTTGAATTGCTCATGTTATTAAGCAATTCTGTAAAATGTCATTCCATTCCAATGTAAACTGTAGGTAACTTTGCACTGACAAACTTTTCCATCTGTAGAATTGATCAAGTTCATACTTTGCTATTGGAAACCACATTATTCAGTAAAAAAAAAAATAAAGATGGACAAGAAGACATGCACTGAAGGAATTCTGGCAGTTTTCATTCCAAGTATGTAATTTCAAATGTAGACAGACGGACAAACAAAGACATATTGATTTTCAATGTTCTTATCATCAACATCTTCTTAATTTTTGGACAGAGAATCTTTCAAAACAATAAGATTTGGACTTTTTTTTTCTTTCATTTTCATTCCTATTAAGATCCTTACCTCCAAAATCATACTTTGGTTTTGCCTTTGGTACAGTTCCTGGTCTTTCTGGTGGTGCTGTTGCGCCTGGCTTTAAACTCTCTGATCCATTACCGTTATATATGTCTAAAAGAAAACAAAATCTAAAAGACCAATCTGACTTGATATAAAAAAGCAGCATATCTTGACATGTAAATTGTTACATTAAAACAATTTAAGGTAGACAGGGGGTCTAAATTAAAATCCATAGAATTTTTTAATAAGTTGCCAAAATGTAGTATATATCATGCTTTTTTTCAAAAATACAATAAAAAGTATGGGTCACAGGGCTTTTTTTCAAGCTACAGGTTAAGCAAAATTGTCAGATTTTGTATAGAAAACCAATTTTGTGTGATAAAAATAAAAATAAAACACTGAATTTTAAAATAAAATATGAGAAGATAGCTCTTATAATGTGATTTCAGTAACTACAAAGAAAAATTGGGGTCACAGGAATTGTTTTCTTGCTACAAAACAAAATATGTGACATTCCCTTATTAAAGGTACATTATCTGAGTTATCTCCCCTTATGTGGCAAAGTTGAAAAAAATTAAAACAAACATAAAGTTTCTGTATTTGTAAAAAACAGTCTAAAATTTTATAAAACACATAATTTTCTTCATTTAGATGAAAAGTCTTACAAACGAATTCAATTCTTCTCTCAAAAGTTGCACATTTCATTAAAGATCTAGACCGATTGTTTTCTGCTATTTTACAATCCAAGGTGGCAGAAGACACCCGATCTACCTTAAGTGTAAATGACTTGCAGAAATTCTAAAACACCATTATAATCATTAATCAGCAAAACACATCTCCTATGATTTGATCATATGCCTTTAATTCAATTTTTCTATCCCATCTTAAAATCATAGTGGTGACTTTGAGCCAGTTTGGCCGACTCAAAAACAAGGGTATAAAAAGAAAAAAGACGAAAAATCAATATTTTAATGTACCATTCATTTTCCCTGGAGCTGTACTTGGTTTTGGTATAGTTACATCCTGCTGTTTATACACAGGAACAGATGCTTCAGCTTTCCTACCCCCACTCCCTGGTCTGTCTCGCGACACTCCCCTAGGACTAGTTGGCTGATCACTCCATGTAACCCCACCACCCTTACTTCCACCAGTACCAGGTCTTTCTCTAGATACACCTCTTGGACTAGTAGGCTGATCCCAGGTTGATGTTGGTCCACCTGCTCCAACTGGGCTTTTTGAAGTAGGAGAAGTTACTCTAGCCCCAGGTGAGGTAACTCTCTGTTGAGGAGATACAGCACGTGGTGTAGTACTACGAGATCTAGGAGTACCTCCTCGACGTGGTGTATTTGTTTTACTAGAACTTCCTCCTTTGGTACTTCCCTTTTTCTTGAGTTTCCCCCCAAATAAGTCAGCATCCATATCTTCTAAATCCTATAGAATCAAAATGAAGATGTTTATTTTTTTTCATTACAATTTACATTTCCTATGTTTTTTTTAATAACAACTGTATTTTCCGTTGAAATAAAAATTTACATCCTTTTATCCATCACTTAAAAAAACCCAAAATAAACAGTCCCACATATATTCATTTATTTGTCCATTTCAATTATATCTTTTAGAATTTGAATTATATTATACGCATCCCAGTGTAAATTAGATGTATATATGCGATTACAGTAAATGGGTCTACCTTAATACTTTGAGCCATCTCTTTCACATCAGCTTCTGATACATCAGAAAGTCCATCTTCAGCACTAGCCGCAATGTTACTATAGAAATCTTCATCTCTAGACCTACAAAAAACCATCTTCAAATTATTAGCCAAAATACATGAAATAAATAACACACAGGAAAAATAATGACCCTACAAGCTTATTCTATTTCAGTTATTCATTGTCCTTTGTCATCTTTAGCTCTTTAGCTATATCTGAAGACGAACAATCATTGTTAAATTATCCTAAATGTAAGACCTTCTGTGAAGAATTAATTAACTGCAACACACTCAAAATCTGTGATTTCTTTTTAGTATATCTCTTTCCAATGCAAAAAATGTGTGGCAAACATATGCATATAAATATTTCATATATAGATTTTTTTTTAAATTTAAAACAACAATCTTAATGTGAAATGTAGGTCCAAGTATTCAGATTGTTTAGGAAAAAATGTAGTGTTGACATACTGAACTGAACCTAACAAAAGTCTGACAAGCATTGAACGTAAGTCTCAAAAGTTGTTGATCAATGTTGTACTACATAGGGAGAACTGAGGTGATCAAATGGAATTTATGGACCATTTGAATTTAAAAGAAATAGATTTCAAACAAAACTTCACAATTCATGCTGTACCAATGAAATAAATTTATACATTTTAGTCACATTTGCAGCACGGCATAAAAATGTTCTAAAAAATAAAAATGCATTTGAACTAATAATTACCCCTGCTTTTTTCCTTCTAGTGACCTTGTTCTTACAGCAGGCTATAAATATAAGAGTAAATATGCATGATAATTTCAATAGAAGTTTAAAAGAGCTATAAATTAAGTATCACTAAAAATATCAATTTCATTATGTTGTTTTTAAAAGAAAAAAAGTCCCATTGATTAAAATTGTTTTTTATTGTTAACTTAAAAGAAAAAAAAGTCCCATTGATTAAAATTGTTTATGTGTTGTTATTACTTAGTGTGAGCTACTGTCATCACATTAGCATCAATGAGCAACCTCTGCAATGGAAACCATTTTTCCCTATGTAAACCACATAAAATATTTATGTCATTTTTTTATTCCTGCAAATTTTCCTTTAAATCTTTACTTGAATCGACTGTCTTACCACTAATTACTGGTAGTCATACAATCCAATTACAAATGAGCTGCGTCAGATAGAAATCGACCTGTTGCAAATGAATATCAATACACCTGTTAACCTATTTAGGGTTAAAAAAATCTCTACACAAAGTCTGTAACTGTTTGAAATTTGAGTTGTTATAAGAACCCTACATAACAGACCAAAATTCATCTTTTATTTTGTATTTGAATGTTCTAAAATCAATCAAAGTCAAAATGTATACATGCACTTACATAAGGTTGATCTCTTTTCGCCACAGCTCAAATATTATACTACTTACAGTATGTGAAGGTGGACTTTTCTTTTTTGGTGAAGAATCTATAATATTAAATTACATCTCTAATAGTATTTTATTTTTAGATATAAATAAATGAAAGAAAGAAAATCTATAAGCAAACTGCATATTATTCCTGTGTAGAGGATAAATTTGTCATCTATTGCTAATACTCCACACATATTCAGGATGTGAACAACATGAACAAATTGAACAATAACTGAATTAAGTAAGATCTGCAAAGGGGGGAACTTTGGCTGCCACTTGCAAAGAGAGAGTATGTGGTATGTGTTAAAGGAGCAGAAAGTTTCCCCTTACGATACACCTTAGGATCCTTAAAGTATTTCTACAGGTATAGAAAGTTAGAAACATTCTACCAATAAAGGCATCCAGCTTAGCATCCCCATTCCAACTGATTGATTGATGATTGCTTTACGCCGCATCAGCACAAAAAGGCTATATCACAGCAACTATTTCAAATGGATAATTTGCTGGATGAATTAATAAGAAAAACATCCCCTCTCTCACCTTTAATCAAATAAAAAATTTCTTTTTGTACATTTTATAAGTAGCAATATATCAATACCTTTAATCTATAGCTTTAAATTTCTATATCATTTCAGCAATAGTATTATGTCCTACCCAGGTATTAATCATCTGAAACCAGACTTTAAAATATGTATATGTCAAAAGGTCTTAAATTTGGTAAATATGAAAAAAGGAGATGGTAAATGTTCATTTAGGTCTGAAAAATAGCCAACTACAAGCCTTAAGAGTCTTTATGTATTAAGAGTACAGTAAAACTAACGCATATTTACAAACTTAACCTTTTATAGGTCGGTTACCTACAGTAAATAATTTATAAATATAAATTGCCATTTCAAAAATAAATGGAGAATGTGTCTATGGGCCACAGATCACTTGTAAATATGCATGATACAACTTCCACATACAGATGCAGGATACACGTATTTAAGACTGTTTTGTGATTATAAGCATTGTGTATAAGTTTCATAACATTTGGTTGAGGCAAACTAAAGTTAGAGAAGGGAAACGACAGTTTTAGCAATTTTTCCATTTATAAAGGGGCATAACTCATGAACCGTAAAAGTGACGCCACCCAATTTCGAATTTGAACTGTGTTTTGAGGTAATAAGCATTGTTTTTAAGTTTTATAACATTTGGTTGAGGCGAACTAAAGTTAGAGAGCGGAAACGAAAATTTCAGCAATTTTTATGTTTTGAAAGGGGCATAACTCATGAACGGTTAAGTGACGACACCCAATTTCAAACTTGATCTGTGTTTTGTGGTTATATGCATTGTGTATAAGTTTTATAATATTTGGTTAAGGCAAACTAAAGTTAGAGAACGAAAACCAATTTGGGGATGTTCAGGACGGACAGATGGACAGACGGGACATACAGACGGACATGGGTAACACTTAATGCCCCTCAGCTATGGCAGGGGCATAAAAAGAAATTTCAAACACATATTCAGCTATTCTAAATGTAAAACAGATCACTTTAGTCTTTTATTACACAACTATAATGCTTATCAGATTAAAAAAGTAATTCTTTACTCTTTAGTAGCATTACATATTTATTTCTAATTAGAAAGATATACTGTGGATTCATTATTATTCAAGGGATACCAATTTTTGTGGACGTCAGGGGTACAGGTGAGCCATGAAATTAAATGTTCAATGAATAACACATTTTCTATAGGCTTGTATGCAGATTTTGCCAAAACCACGAAATTCTAAATCCACGAAAATACAATTTTTCCTTAATCCACAAATATAATTGAATCCACAGTACCATATATATCTTCAATAACTGGATTAAAAATTCCTACCTTCATCAAGCAGACCTCCAAGTAAATCATCAAGACCATCTGAACCTTTCTTTCCTTCTGAAAAACAGGTGTATCTATTATTATTCAAATTCAACCTAAAAGGAGTAGCTAAAATAGGTATGTCACTAAAATATGTTCTATTTAGAAAAATGTAAATCTTTTGAATGATTTCTAATAGACAAATTTACAAATATTTTCAAAATTGATCTGAAAATAAGCGAGAAGTAAATTTATACTGTTAACATTGAACGATGAAGGAGCTACACATTATGTCAGTTTTATTTAGTCTGACCTTCTTTCGACATTTTCATAGACTTTCTTCTATGAATTTATAATCAAAGCGCTTCTGAGCACTGAGGGGTAAAGATTGCTTTCACTTTGCAATTTCATGAATTTAATAAAAGTATTTAGTAAGGCAAATTATAAATTTGAGTTGGAGTTATCTTCGTTAGTTCATGATTGTACATTAGTACTTAAACCTACTTTTATAACAGATGCATATGCCATGCATTACTTATGTAATTTTTAATAAAAGAAAAGTTAAATTTTCTTGAAAAGTATGGTATTCAAATACACATCATATTGTAACTTGAATATCTAAGTATAACATATCATCAATAAATTCCATGAAGTTGACTGGATAGGATTAAAAGAGTGATCACTTCACTGCACTATTTTTTTTTTTAACTATCAAAGGTAGTGAGAAACCTTGGAAGATAAAGATATCAAGTCAGTAGCAATAGGGTTTTGATTGCATTTTATGCAATCTTTACCCAAAAAAATAGTATTTGTTAAACACTTATATTGGTTATGAATAAAAGGAGATTTGGAGTATACATCAGCACTTTTCTGCTCTCCACTTAGCTATTGAGTCCTCCTGAACATGCATGAAATATTTGCCACTGGATGTTAAGCAACCAGCAAATAATCAGATATTGAGCTGATTTTGTAGCTGTATACCGGTAATAATTAACCAATAGATCAAGTTTGCATGTTGTTTTTTATGACTAACTTTGAATGAAAGGCTGCAAGTGAGAGCATTTGTATCCTAATACCAACACACTGATTTTTAGTTTTCCTAAATGAAACTTAATGTAATCATGTTATAAATCAGAATTTCTCACACACTATTCTATATGAATATGAACATGTACATTCATAATAATGATTTTTCACCTTCTTCAGAAGTTAAGATAATGTGAAAGTACTTAAGAGACCAAATCATTAATTGCATAGGTTTAAACTTTGTACAACATCACACTACGAAAAATTTCATTTTTGTTGAGCCTGCGACTTTTGTCGCAAAAGCGAGACATAGCGATCCTACATTCCGTCGTCGGCAGCGGCGGCGTCCACAAATATTCACTCTGTGGTTAAAGTTTTTCAAATTTTAATAACTTTCTTAAACTATCCTGCATTCCAACCAAACTTGGACAGAAGCTTGTTTATAATCATAAGATAGTATCCAGGAGAAAATTTTGTAAAAAAAAAAATCCTGTTTATCCGTATTTTACTCATATATGGACTTAGTTTTTCTGCCAGTTAACATACATTGTAACATTCACTCTGTGGTTAAAGTTTTTCAAATTTTAATAACTTTCTTAAACTATCTTGGATTTGTACCACACTTGGACAGAAGCTTGTTTATGATCAAAAGCTAGTATCTAGATGGAAATTTTGTAAAAATTTATTCCCTGTTTTTCCGTATATTACTTATAAATGGACTTAGTTTTATTCCAGTTAACATTACGTACAGTCTGCAGTTAAAGATTTTAAAACATTTATTAGATTCATAAACCTTCTTGGATTTTTACCAAACTTGAACAGAACTTCTTGCAATCAAAAGATAGTATCTACAGGAAAATTTTTAATAATTTTTTCCCCATTTTTATTGAGCCTGCGACTAACAGCAAAAGTAGGCGAGACACTGGGTTCCGCGGAACCCTTACGAATTTTTATTAAATAAATACTGTTCTAACCTTTTTGTTTCCTTTGAATTATCAAATCAGTGAAAAACTTATTAGACTCGTCATAAATAACTTAATTTCCAAAACAAAATAATAAAATTTATACATACTTTGTTGTTTCTTGCCACCAGGTGTCCACGCCTGAAATTAAATGCATGCATATGGTAGAATATAACTTTTTTAAGTTCAGATAAAATGATTTATTTCAAGACAAATTTTTAAGCTTGGTAATTGTACCAGGCCTTGAATAATCAATGAGTTTTTCTACAGAACCCCTTACGAATTTGAAGTTACATACTTTCACAATCTGATTAAAATACAGATCCTGTCATTGATTGTTGGTTCCTTACAATCCTGTGTCCTATGGGGTGCATACTGCATAGATAGTTTTAGATCAACGAAAATTTGACCAAGAGCTATTTCCTTTTTGTCCAAATGTTGGAGGTCAATATGCACAAATTTCTTTATTATTCAGCCAAATTCAACAAAGCTAAACTGACCCCTAGACTTTAAAAAAAGTTGTTTTTCAACCAATTCTATTTTTTTTTTTTTATGTTTTGCAGAATTCATCACTATGATCAAGAAAGGTTCTCTACTCAGATTTGCTTGTATTACATTGTACAAGTTTCAATTTTGGTAAATCAAATACGAAAAATCAACCAGTATTAAACATCTCCAACATGTTAACAAGCTTAAACAGCTAGCAGTTGGTGCAAGACAACTTGGCCTGTAGACAACTTGGACCTTCTACAAAAAAGGCAACTGGGTCTGTATATGAAGAAAACTTAGACCATCAATAAGTCAACATGGACCATCTATAAATTCAACTTGGACCGCCTATAATCATGCCAACTTAGACAAAGGATTAAATAAAAATTTGACTACTATGGTAGAGGGTCTGAGCTGACTTTAAAGACGGTTCAAGTCAACTTATTGACGGATTTTAGGTAAAATACAATATATATATGCAATGAGATTAAAATTAAATAAATAAAATTAGCGAATTTCAAAAACAAAAAATAAAACATATTCAACATCAACTTCATTTTCTTGAGCATAAATTTAGTTTTATATTAATTATAGATTTATAGACGATTGACTGATTGGTGTCTAACGCCACTTTCAGCACTATTGTGCTATTATGTGGCAGTCAGTTTATCATACCTGCCAACCTCTGAAACCTTCAAAGAGGAAGATCTCCTCCTCAGCTATGACAGCTGAGGGGGAGATTTTGTGCATTTTCAAGTTAAATAAATGACGTGTTTACGTATTCATCTACAAAACACCAATAAGGGTTAATAAATATACTTTATTTCTTCAATTCATGGTTATAATCTATACAAAGTGTTTTTTTTAAGCCTTTTTCAATACCTCCGAGTCTCATAACTCATAACATTCCATCTTTTGATTTTGTTGTGAGTCTCACACTTAGCATGCTTTCAAACACTGTACAGACCACAAGAAGAAATCAAAAAGTTGATTGAACATGATGTGCAAAAAAATTCATTGCCAAGTGAACTTGGTCGTAAAAATTGAAAATCTTTCATTCACATCTGCTTGACATTTCGATGTGAAGTTATCTAGTTCTTCTTTATTACACAGTGCTGCTTGGTTCAAACAAAGACCTCTATATTGTTGGAGTTGACATAGCAGAACTGAATTTCGATTACTTATATATTGAACATAAAAACTACTGACCAAAGTTTTCAAATGATCGCAGATTGTTTATTTATTTCTATTTATGAAAGTTATGAAAAATCCAGAGAATTACGAACGCAGGTTATTCCAGGTCAAAATATCTGAAAGCAGGATTTTCTATACTCCTGCGCAGGAGCAGATGAGCAAGATTTCCAGAATTTCGTTGTTTTCAAAACGGGAGGGTTGGCAGGTATGGTTTATATTGGTGGAGGAAGCCGAAGTGGCCAGAGAGGACCACCAACCTTCGGCTTCGGTAGGAAAACTGATAATCCTAGTCAATCAAGATTATAGTCAAGACCACCTGCCACATGCAGGATTCAAACTTACAACCTAGGTGTTGAAAGACTAGTAGAAAAATAGTTCGAACTTTATATTATAATCCGTCCGAATTGACTTATAAGCGGTACCTCGAATGACCGAATAACACCGTTATTAGCCAAATAACACTTGTAATCACCGAATAACACTTGAAATTTTAATATTAGCACATATTGGTGACATTTAAACATTGATTATTAAATAATATTGTATTATAAGTGTATTTTATAACTTAAAAATGATTTATAGAAATCAGGTAAGTTCATAAAGATCGCATTAAATATTAGTGTGTACATCCAACATGGTGACCAAGGAAAACACAATGGGTTGGCAGGTATGGTTTATATTGGTGGAGGAAGCCGAAGTGGCCAGAGAGGACCACCAACCTTCGGCTTCGGTAGGAAAACTGATAATCCTAGTCAATCAAGATTATAGTCAAGACCACCTGCCACATGCAGGATTCAAACTTACAACCTAGGTGTTGAAAGACTAGTAGAAAAATAGTTCGAACTTTATATTATAATCCGTCCGAATTGACTTATAAGCGGTACCTCGAATGACCGAATAACACCGTTATTAGCCAAATAACACTTGTAATCACCGAATAACACTTGAAATTTTAATATTAGCACATATTGGTGACATTTAAACATTGATTATTAAATAATATTGTATTATAAGTGTATTTTATAACTTAAAAATGATTTATAGAAATCAGGTAAGTTCATAAAGATCGCATTAAATATTAGTGTGTACATCCAACATGGTGACCAAGGAAAACACAATGGGAAGAATAAAAGAATGATTGCATATGCATTCAAAGGGAAAAGCTATGAAAATAAAGTATTAAATAATGTACTGTATATACAGAGTATTGTCCAATAATTTTTTTTCAGTAAGGTTTCGAAAAGTTAACAAGTACATCAAAGCCATGCAATTACTCCAATCACCAATTAGTTTTCTTAACGATTTACTAAACGTAATTAAGAATTTTCACATATTTAATTTAAATTTAATCAAAAAATTAATTATACTTGATTGTTTTATAATAAAAACAAAGCAGCTGAATGGATGATTCGTATGTGTGTATTTTCTCAAAAAGAAATTAAAGATTTTCATTGGCAAATATTAATGTTTTTACAAGTAACTAAAATTTGGTATAAAAACATGTGAAGACATATGTGCTGTCTTCCATCTTTAAAATGGCTTTATATCCTTGTGTTCAATGTGATGAAGAATGTGCTGATTGCACAATTCAGTGCAGTAGTTGTGATCGTTGGGTTCACAGTGCTTGTGTCCCAATGAATTATTCAATGTTATCGGCCTGGTCAGATGTGTCTTTAAGTTCCTATGTAAGGACTGCTGCTTTACAGACAACAAGTACGACATGGCCAAGTCCCTAGAAAGGTAAGTAATTTTATAAAGTATATTTTCAACATAATATTTATTAGAATGTATATGAAATATATAAAGAACAAATGTGAAATTGTACATATTTAATTTTAATGAAGACATTAATTTCACTAATTCGATTATATTTAACTTGTTTCTTATTTCATTTTCTTTGGCAATATATATTCAATTTACTTAATTTACTAAAAATTCAGAAATAAAAGTAAAGGAAAAAAATATAATATTCTTAGTATTGACGTTTAATTATTTTTTTATTGCTATGTTCATCCATTTTAATACATAATTCAGGAATAAAAGTAAAGGAAAAAAAAAATAATATTCATAGTACAGAAGTTTAATTTTTTTTTATTGCTATGTTCATCCATTTTAATACATTAAATTAAGTTTAATAATGAAATATTTTTTGCCAATTAGATAATTTAATTGTGATAATGCTAAGTTCCCAATAATCAAAATATTTATTACCTTACAATTCTATCATATTGTTAATTAGATTGTTGTTTACTGACACGTGCCCATTACATAATTAATCATTAAATGATAATGAAATTATATTACGGTATGGACACTCTGCATTAAACTGGCTTGTGACTGTCTTGGTATACCAAGGCTGCATTACCAAAACCAATAATAATATTTAAAAAAAAAGAACACAAATAAATATTTACAACTATATACAATATATGTACTTCCTAACTATATCTTCTGTAAAAGTGTAATAAGCTTTATTGTTTCACAAAGAATTTTTGATTATTTAAAATAATAAAATTTTTCTTCAGAAAATAAAAAAAAAAAAAAAAATTATTTAAACTTATTTGATATGAGTTTTTTTCTGTTTAATAAAATACTTTTTTTTTGCAAAATTCAAGACATTCGATGTTAAAAAGTTTTTCTTCTTCTTGAACAAAATACATTTCACGTGGAGTCAATGATAAAATATTTCAGTTCATTTGATAACTTTGTTAATAAACCAACTGACCGACTTCCTCAAAGCTACTAAGAAGGCACAGTAACCTTCTTTGGTGAAATGTATCCTATAGCGCGCTTCGTATTCCGTCCGATAAACATTAGTTGGCTTGAAATAATGTACAAAATGATTTTCAAGAGCAATGCTTTTCATTTTGTTCACTATCTCTCGGCGAACTGTATGCTCATCGGGAGTGCAATACCAAGGCCCAGACCGCTTCATAACAGACATGAATACTACTGATACTCCTCTCGAAAGACGAGCATAAATGAAAGTATTCATGTCTGTTTTGAAGGCAGCCTCATCAAAAGAATATCCGTCACAATCATTGCTACCTATTTGGCAAATAACCACTTGTGGATTATAATGCACAAACAAGCCAGTCTCAATTGCTTCAGTCAATCTCTGGAAAGTGGCACCAGGATAACCATGCATTTGAACAGAGACCTTCCAATGAGCATTAGATGGGTTCTCCTAGGTATGGGGTTTCTAAATAAAATGTTGTTTTCGCGGACTTCAACAGATAAGCCCGTGCCTTGTGCAGGATATCTAAGTAGTTTTAATTTTTCACAATAAAATTCTAAATAAATTGTTTTCGCGGACTATGACAGATAAGCCCGTGCCTTGTGCAGGATATCTTAGTAGTTTTAATTTTTTACAATAAATTCTAAATAAATTGTTATCGCGGACTACTATAGATAAGCCCATGCCTTGTGCAGGATATCTTAGTAGTTTTAATTTTTTACAATAATTTCTAAATAAATTGTTTTCCCGGACTATGACAGATAAGCGCGTGCCTTGTGCAGGATATCTTAGTAGTTTTAAAAGGGCTTGGTTACTCTCCATTTTTAAATTAAAAAAAAAAAAATAATACACAGATATTTTATTTAAAAATAGAAATTTTTGATTATAATATTATTTTTTTATAACTATAAAAAATTTTTTTATTGTAAACAGTTAAATATTCCATATTTTCTCTAAAAGGGGAGGCGCCCACCCTCACATTGTTCATTGCCTTGATGTGGCGTGAGGGCTCCACTTTGGTGGTCTAAAATGAACACGTTGAGGGATTGTATGCAATCATTCTTTTATTCTTCCCATTGTGTTTTCCTTGGTCGCCATGTTGGATGTACACACTAATATTTAATGCGATCTTTATGAACTAACCTGCTTTCTATAAATCCTTTTTAAGTTATAAAATACACTTATAATACAATATTATTTAATTATCAATGTTTAAATATCACCAATATGTGCTAATAATTTCATTTTGGATGTAACGCTTCTTCTGATTGGCTGACGTTGTTTTTTTATCAACTCATAGACATAATTTTGTCATGTGACCGTGACGTCATCAATGTTTTTTCATGGTTTACTCCGGTTTAAAATGGAATTTAGAATTAAATTATAAGAAATGACTGTAATATTTTTTCTGTCTATTCGAAATAACATAAAAAATGTGGTGCACACTTTAAAATAACCCGCGTAAGTGAGCACCACATTTTTGATGTTATTTCTTCATAGACAGAAAAAATATTACAGTCATTACTTAAATATTAAAATTTCCAGTGTTATTCGGTGATTACAAGTGTTATTTGGCTAATAACGGTGTTATTCGGTCATTCGTGTTACACACTTATAAGTCGTCAGAGTTGTCTCTGGGCTGAGTTGTCCCATATTCCTAGCAGTGGATTAGATGTATTAAATGAGTTGTCCCATATTCCTAGCAGTGGATTAGATGTATTAAACTCTAACCAAAACCAAAGCATGAGCAATCAAAACTACAATATCGTTTGGACATGTCATGTGTGTGCATGCATCACTTTTTTGTACTTTTGCTATTCAGCTGAACTTTCTGAGTTTTTAGCAATATTTACATTAGCCATGATGTTTTCTAATGTTCCGATCCAGAAGCGTATCTATAGATTTGCAGCTTTACACATTTCGTATTATATCTTTCAAATCATTTTCTTGTAGATATTATCTGCTTCCCTTAGTTTACGTTTATCGTAACATCGGAGATTACGGATATTGGTTATTTCAAACGAGGAACCAGTCAGTTCTTTAAAATCTCGTACGGTGCACCGTACGTGAAAAAGCGATATCATAATATATTTCTTAGCAACAGGGAGAGGACGCCATAATTTTACAAGGGACAAAATGACAGGAGAGAACGAAACTGTTACAATGGATCCACCACATGTGTATGTGGAACGGACATTAGCAATTATCAAACCAGATGCAGTTCATAAGGCAGAAGAAATTGAAGATATAATTTTGAGATCAGGATTTTCCATTTTACAGGTAATTTAACAAATAAGAAAATATGTTATCCCAATCCTCATCTATCATCTTACAGCAAAAAGACTATTGCAGAATTTGGATTATCAAGTCGATACTGGGTCACATGTTTCTACATATAGAAACAGAATATTAAGATACAAATGTAAGTTTAATTTGTGTTGCCATATCTTAGTTTGTACAGTGAAGCTGAGATTCTCCCAAATCCTCCAAAGAAGCATGAACCATTGCTATTAAACTCATACCACTCAAAGTCAGCTTGTACCAATGTTAACTCTTACAACTGCGAACCCCGCTCCATTCAGCAAACTTGTACCATTAAAAAATAAAAATATACAACAATGAATGTTTTATTGTTTTTGCAAATCTTTATAAAATATTAATTGATTTTCCTGAATTTTTAATTAAGAAATATAAAATATATGAATTTCTTAATTACTTAGTATCATAGACTTAAATTGAATTGTTTGTTATCTTTAAGTTATATTCTATTACCATTTTAATTCACAAATTCAATTCCTTTAATTGTGTGATTATGTCTGTAGTTAACTAATCAATTTACAGTTTAAATCAATTATTAAGTATGCAATGGTACAAGTTTGTTTTTTAGTGGTAAGAGTTCAATACTATGGCACGAGATAACTAATACATGTATATCATCCTCCAGTACCCCTACTATAGAATTCTACCCTAATCTTTCTTGTAAGTATCAGAAACACCTTCAAACTAGTAATTATGACTATGATAAGTTTTATGTGTCGTTTAACTCATTACATTTACATTTAAGGAGATGAGACCACTATCCACCTGAATAAAAATTTTGTGGATAAAAGAAATAATAGGTCACTGTAGGGCCTTGAACATGAGCAAAGCCCATACTGTATAGTCAGGCAGCTACAAAAAAAACCCACCACCCCACCATGACAACATGTGAAACGATTCAAACAAGAAAACTAACATCCTCATTTATAACTAAACAATTACGAAAAACAAATATGACAGACCTGAAAAAATGACAACCACTGAATTACAGGTACCTGACTTGGGACAGGCACTTTAAAAAAAATCTGCATTTAACATCAGAATAACAGTTTGTGTTGCCTGTACAGATATTACTATAATGTAACAATAAGATGGCAGAAGATAAAAGGTAGTCATGTGATGTCTATTTTAATCAAACTAAAAAATGTGGCTGTGTTTGTATAAACTGAACTAAAAGGGAAAAAAAGTAACAACATTGTGTCATTGAGCTATAAAATTTGCCATATATGTATAACAGCAACATAATGCTACAAATCATTGAAATTGACTGGATTTAATCATCTAAACAAAGGTATCCAAGAAAATGTTGTGATTCAACAGTCTATCCTTTATATGCTTTTCTAAGTTATGGTGAAGATTTTATAACTTAACTTTATTTTAAATCAAAGAGAGGGTATGTCACCCGGCCTGCACATGTAATATTGATTATATGCGTATGCTTTTTTAATTGCAGAAAAGAAGGGTCCATTTAACACCTGAACAAGCTAGTGATTTTTATGCTGAACATTTTGGAAAATTTGCATTTACAAGTTTGGTAGCTTACATGAGCAGTGGTCCAATGATAGCACTAGTTCTAGCACGTGATCAGGCTATATCATATTGGAAAGAATTAATAGGACCTACTAATTCTGTAAAGGCAAAACAGACACACCCTGACTGGTTTGTATATTTAATATGTTTGTATTTTGTAATGTTCAAAGAAAGACGCACATGTCATTCCCATATGAAGGTGACATGAGCTCTCTTTTTTTGCAGTTTTATCATGGAAACTGGTTTTGTACGTTTGAAATAAACTTTGTTGGTAGTACAATATAAAACAAAATGCTGATATATTGCATTTGAATTACTTCCCCCTTCATTAAAGAATTAGCGAGCTAGGCCTTTTAATAATGTGTAAATAAACAACTGGCAAAAGATTGAAGCTATTATTGTATTATTGATTAATGCCATTTTCACATCTTGAATATTCATTTAGTATTAAATTTTTTCAAAAGAAAAGGATTATTATTTTAAGCCAATACATTAGCTTTTTTTTTCTTGTAGTTATTGACCCTATACAATAAGTGTTAAAATGATCTGATAGACTTAACTATTATATTTTTTACAGTTTGAGAGCTATATATGGTGCAGATGATCAGAAAAATGCATTACATGGGAGTGACACTTTTTCAGCGGCAGAGAGGGAAATAAGATTCTTTTTTGCAGACAGTAAGTTGTTTGAATATATTACATTTTAGGCAAAAGGTAATAAACTGCTCTATTGTGGTTTCATTACAATTGGTGGAGTTCTCTGATTTTCGTTGATTTCGTGGGTATAGGTAAACCACAAATTTTGATATTCAACGAAGTTCAACTTTACAAAAGCTTATAAATGCCAATTTTTGCAAAACCACAAAATAAGATATCCAAACTTTTTTTCTCAATCCATGAAAATAAGCGAATCCACGTGCACTGTCACAGTATTTAAGTAGTCAACAATAGACTTGATGAATTTACTGTATTTCTGTTTTTGTTTAATAGTTATAATCATTAACCTACCTTCAATATATATACTTTTTTATTATCTTGATTTAGAGGACAAATTATTCAAACAAGGAATTATTTGAATTCTGGAAAATTGATAAGAAATCTATGACAAAAACTAACCCAATTTAGGATGGTTAGACATGCATGCATGCATGGCTTAGGGAGGTTAGTTAGTTCATATTGAAATATCAGTGAAAGTAAAATTAACCTTAGCCATGCAAGCATGGCTAACCCTTTTTAGTTTAGTTAGTTTTCATCATACATTTCTTATCAATTTTTCCAGATTCAAATAATTCCTTGCTTTCATTTTATCCTTAAAATAAACAGTTACCTTAATATTATTCGGGTCAATGATTGAAGTTACTGTATTAGGTTAAAAACATGTATGATGTTGTCGTTCATCATTAATAATAATCTTTTTCACAAGATGTGATAGAAATAACATGCCATCGTTATACAAATTTATTTTAAATAAGAAAACCTTATTTATACATTTATAGTGCTATTTAGCAAGAAATCAGTTTGTATGTGTGATAACATCATTGCAAACAAGTTTGATATGTTAAAACTTTTTCTAAACCAGGTGTAATAGAACCAGTCCAGACAGGCCAAGCTGCAAAAGATTACTTGTCCAAATCTGTAAATCCAACATTACTGAAAGGTCTGACAGAATTATGTAAACAGAAACCAATAGATCCTGTGGTAAGTCCAATCAGCAATATTGAGTGAGCGTAATTACTCAGTTTGAGCTATTCATCTAACATTAGGTATATGTGTTAATCAGCGAGAAAGATTACCAAAATCTTTCAACATGCATAACAAGTAAAATTCTTTAAAAATAAACATGCATAGAATATGCAAATGATTTTTCATGCAAGACATTATTTTTATCAATTAATTCACTGAAACACCCTTTTCGAAAGGTTGATAGCCACTAGAATTAATATGATATAGAATTTTCATTATTTCTTAGTGTAAAGAGTCAATTTTCAGAAAAATATAGATCATCATCCATAGTTATTTTCAAGAAATATGGGGATCAAAATATAAACAAGTTATAGGGGAAACCACTCTTTGGAGAGTTAAAAAAATGTTTTTTTAGAAATTGATGTTTTAAAGAGGGCAATATTTACATTGATTGCTTCAGTAAATGAAATGAAAATGGGGCACTCATTATTGCTTTTTCACTATTTTAAAAATATTGAGAAAAAAAAGAAGTTTTCTAGTAATATCTAGTTTATCTCCCCTGAATTGTACACATTTGTGCATTTGTGCTAAAGTTATCTCCCAGACTCCCATGGCAAAATTCTTGGATTCATAAAAATTTGATTTATTGGTTTATTTCTAAGTTAGGTCTTGTTGTTTGCAAATTTAAAAAGTATAATATTTGATATCAATTTATACAACTAGTCACTTATCAACGATGTTGGCCCCAAAAGAGATCAGTTGAACAATGTCTATCTACTTTAAAAATATGCTTCAATCACAGTTTAATTTCATTATTGATATGAATTGAAATCAGTTTATGCTGGGTACATTCAGGCCATAATTTTAAATAGAAGATAAACTCATTCAATTACTTTGTAATAATATATTTTTATTCTTTTACAGATCTGGCTTGCAGATTGGTTGCTTGAAAATAATCCAAATAAACCCAAAGTTCGACAGCAAGTGGAAGAATTATGAACTTTATTGACATTTACTCCCTTGTATATATACATTTGTAAATAAAAAAAATTAAAATTACCATAAGTATTAGGGATTTAATAGTGGAAACTGATAACAGATAACATTTTAAGAATGGAAAAGTATTGAACAGAAAATGGTTGACATGATTTAAATGAGAAGTGAAATTCAACAATTCAGCAACCAACAATATAATTTATAGAGACGGACAAGTCCATAAATCATAAATTAGGCTGTGTGACTAGTTCAGTAGAAATGACCAACAACTTGTCTTCCCCTTTCATCCTGTGTCAATACAAAACAGATTAACCCTTAAAAACAATAATCAGATATGCATATAACTTAAAAATGTACAAGTTTTTTGTTATTATGCATAAGCAATTCTGTCAGGTGTTGTTCTATTTCAATTAAAAATTATATGAGATTTTGAATTTACAAACTAACCCATATTTAGAAATGGTGGTCTAGGTTTTGCTGTGCCAAACACAATCTTTTTCTACTGAGAACACTGTCTCCCACTGTCATGAGGGAAGCAAATTTCTATAAATGAACAAAACATTAAGACACAACAATCATTTTGACCCTGCTATTCAAATAATGATGAGAAGTCTTTTATTTCTTTGTTCAAGCTGGTGGTCATCATATGCATTGTCTACTAATCATTTTTGTCTGGCCTGTGACAAAAGTCACAGAATGGGAGAAATAGTGATAACAATCCTTTGATGGCAACATAAACTATTAGTATAAAGCTTTATATTTCAGAAATGTGAACCTGGATGTTTCATACCTTTTATGCTGACATCATTTGTTATGAAGTTTCTGTCTGTCATCATGTCCATTGTCATGGACTTCATTTTCATAATTCAGAGAATGCTTGCTAGAAAACAATTTATAGGTTTTTGTCATGTGGAATACTCACTAATTACGAGTAATAGGATAACTTTTTTTGGTATTCGGGATCCTTGGAAAGTCTACATATCTGTCAGACAGGGTCTATGGGGACCACATCCTATATACAAGGTGATAGGATGTGCTGCTGGAATAGGTTCACCTGACCTTGGCCTCACTTCATGGATCAGTATTCTCAAGTCCGTATCTCAGATACTATAAGCAATAGAACAATTATTTTTTGGTGTGTAGAATGATTGTAAGGTGTACTTGTCAAACTGGCAGGTTTCATTTGACCTTGTCCTCATTTTCATAATTCATTAGACAATGTTTAATTTAGTTTTTGTGATTTGGTCTATTTCTCCGATACTATAAGCAATAGGGCAATTATATTTGGTAAATGAAATGGTTGCATGGAGTGAATGTATGTCTGGCATGTTTCATATGACCGTGACCTCACGTTCATAAAGTCAATTTTAAGTTTTCATGGTTTTTGTCAGTTTATCAGATAATCTAGGATAATAAATACTATAAGGAGTTGTCTGACAGTTTCAACTAAGTTAATTCATTGCCATATGATCAATTTTACAATTTATAGTTTCACTTTATCTATATACAATTTGTTTTGAATATAATAGCAAAATTTGCAAAAATTTTTATTTAAGGGTAATAACGCCCATTAGAAGTTGAACTGTGCTGGTTGTTTATTGTTTGCTCAACTTTTACAACATATGGTCTTGAAACAAAGGGACGTTTTTGCACACAAAAAACTGGTTTAATGGCCACCATATTTTGTGCCTGTATCAAGTCTATCTGGAAGTGGTGTTGTTCTTTGATGTTTGTCGTTGTTTGTGCAGCTTATTTTAAGAGTACTGTTGTACTGTTCAATATTTCTGGTTATTATTGTTATCCTTGTGTATTATTGATAAGATGTGTAACATACTCAATAGTTGTATTATTCTCAGGTAGTGACTATGCTATTCTTCCCCTATTAATGAATTTTTGATAATGACATTCATGCCAATAAAGTCAGCCTACAGAAAGCAAGCACTTAATCCCATAATATCTCTATATAAGACAACTAAAACATAGTCACATGAAAAATAATGTTATTAATTTGCATTACATAAAAGTATGGTAGCACAAATTGATTTTTATAGATCATAAGGTGTACTTTTTATAGTAATAACCAAAATCACTAAATCTTAAAGTCATGCAAAATTGACGACAAATTAAGATGTTTACTGGGTAAGTGTTATTTGTTAGCAATAGGATTGTATGCAGAGTGATGAAATATCATTGATAATGTTAAAATAAGTAACAAACCTTAAAATAAGGTGACTAAAAATAATTTCTTTGATTTTTGCACAACACATATTTTTAGAATGAACTGCATCAGATAATCTTCAGTCCATACACTTGAAGATCCTAAAATGTAAAATGTTTGAGCACATGAAAACCAATTAGTACCTAAAAAAAACCGTCCAAGGTCATCTTTGCAAGTTCACCAGAAGAACAAAACCAGTGGTAATAAACACAAATACTGCTGTTTGGCAGTCGGTAACCTTGAGAACTGATATCTTTCAACAGCAGTACCAACTAAGTGATAGTAAAAAGATACATGATTTCCATGCTCACAACCCATAATAAAATAACTTTCATTCCTGTATGTCACTCTAGATCAAATTTATATCAAAGTGCTTTAAATATTCATCTAACCAATACTCTGATTTGAATATCTAGTTATTAATATGCAAATATTATCAACTACTGCCAGTACAACATATCCCTTAAAGAAAACTAAAATTTTCGAACATTTTTCTTTGTCATATAGGAAAAACCTCCACATATTGCAGAACTGGAAGGAAACAACTTAAAACTTATCACTTATCAAGATATCACTATATACCAATTATCTTTTCAATAAATTCAGGCATTACTGAATTAAAGCGAGTGATATTGATGTATTCAAGCAATTTTGTATGTCATAGGGCCACTGCTTTAGCAAATATTTGCTCAACAAAGCTTAAACTTAATCTGAATCTTATGATACGATTACATACCTATATTTAATCAAAACATTGCAGCATTACACAAAAGGGTGCGGAAAAAATAACCAATGAAGAGACACAGTGCAAACCTAAAATCCCCTTCAGCTTCCAACATAGGGGACTTAATAACCAAAATAAAATGCTCCGCTGGGGCGCAGCTTGATACGACCGCAGAGGTCGATCCCTGAACAGTTGGGGCAAGTATGGACACAACATTCAAGCTTGATACAGCACTGAATTTGGATTGTAATTAAATATTTGACACAGCATAGGTTTCTCACACAGAATGAAAGTGGTCTAAGAACTTAAAAATTTTTAATTTACCTATTCAAACCATATCATTATTATTTGCTTTTATATATAAATCAGAAATAACCAATTTAAAATGGAAAATTTTAAAGAAAAAAAAGGAAAAAAAAAATCCCCCCCCCCAATTTTTGGAACCCCCTTATGATTCATCACCCCAAACACAATCCCAGCTTTCCCTTTGTGGTATGGTACCTTGCAGTACAATTTCAGAGAGATCCATACACTTGAAACAAGTTATTGTCTGGAAACTAGAAAAATGCTTATTTTTGGCCCCTTTTTGGCCCCTTATTCCTAAACTTTTTGGGCAATTACCCCCAAACTCAATTCCAGCTTTCCCTTTGTGATATGGAACCTTGTAGTACAATTTCAGAAAGATCCATACACTTACACACAAGTTATTGTCATGAAACTAGAAAAATGCTTGTATTTTTCCCCTTTTTGGCCCCTAATTCCTAAAATTTGGAGGCAATTACACCGAAAATCAATCCCAGCATTCCCTTTGTGATATTGTGATATGGAACCTTGTGGTACAATGTCAGAGAGATCCATACACTTACACACAAGTTATGTCTGGAATTACAAAAATGCTTATTTTTGGCCCCTAGTTCCTTAACTGTGGGTACCAAAAATCAATCCCCACCTTCCTTTTGTGGTATTGAACCTTATAGTAAAATTTCATTGAGATCCATTCACTTAAACTAAAGTTAGAGTGCGAAAACTAATGTGTCTTCGGACGACGATGCCGGACGCCGACGACTAAGACGACGACGACGACACCAACGTCATACCAATATACGACCACAAAAAATTTTTTCATATAAAAAGTATGCGAAGAATATTCACAGTTTAAGGCAATATTTGATGAAAACCCGTATTGAATTCTTTTTTATTACAATGTTAACTTTTTTCAAATATGGCATGACAACAATAAACAACATTTCATTGCAAATAAAATATCACATTTGACATTAAAATTTTTCATAAAATTGAGGATGAATAAACAATAAATACATAAAAATATACACATAAATGGTGATCTGTGGCAAACAACTTTCACAAAGATAAACATATATTTCTACTGCAATAAATTCCATACTATCAATGAATTCTTCTATACATTTGTAAGTAATACATGTACATTAACATCACAGAGTTGATGTGTCCATTCAGATCAATTATTATTTTTTTGTAAAAGGGCATACAATACAGTTTTGATCCAAGAATGATTTTTTAACAAAATTTGAATACAAGCTTTTTTTTTCACCTAGTCTATTCAAATATGAAATAAAAAATATACCTTCATGTGCTACTTTTCGAGACAAATGGTGTCAAAATTTTAGACATTTACTCAAAATTTCAGATTCTTGAACATCTCTATCCATTGGACAGGCATATTTTTTTGTTTTTGTTTAAAAAGATAAAAACGTGTTTTTTTTGTAAAAACATTTGGAATATCTTCTTCACATAAGTATGATCTAAATTTGTGTAATATTCTTTGGAAATAATTCAATTTTATCTAATGATCATAATTTTAGAAAAAAAGCCATCTTATTTGCTGTATATTTATCTAATCTGAAGAAAATACATTAGTGATTTTTTCATAAAAATTGGCACAGTCTTAAAAAATAACTAAGCCAAATGTCACTTTGAAAAGGAGGTGTCCATGTACTTGTTTTAAAGCTAATGATAATAAACTGCTTTGCTGAGCGCAGCTGGATACAACCGCAGAGGTCCAACCCTGAACAGTTGGGGCAAAAATGGACACAATATTCAAGCTTGATACAGGTCTGAATTTGGATTGTAATTAAATATTTGACACATTACAGGTTTCTGACACAGAATAAATGTGTCAAAGAACTTGAAATTGGTTGTATGATTTGAATTTATATTCAATTGAAGATTTCTTGCTGTTGTGCAATACACTGTGCTGTTGCGCAATACTTAGTAAATCTGTTTTCAGACTATATACAAAGAATTAGCAAAATAAATTGTGACCCCCAATTTTTTTCTTTGGAAAATTGACAATTTCTTTAATCTTGAGGAAACATAAATTGACCCCCCCCCAAAAAAATTTTTTTTTTTTTTACCCCCCTTCCAAAAACAATAATATTTGAAGAGAATTTTCTTTTGAGGAAAAAAAATTGCCCCTAATTCCTGAACGGTTTGGGCAATTACCCCCAAAATTAATACCAACCTTCTACTTGTGGTATTGAACCTTGTGGTACAATTTCAGAGCAATCAAAATACTTATACACAAGTTATTGTCCTGAAACTAGAAAAATGCTGGTTTTGGCCCCTTTTTCCTAAATGGTTAGGACCATCACCCCCAAAAACAATCCCAACCTTTCTTCTGTAGTATTGAACCTTTTGGTGAAATTTCATAGAGGTCCATACACTTAAACTAAAGTTATTGTCCAGAAACCAAATGTCTTCGGAAGACACAGACGACGTCGTGATACCAATATATGTTTGCGGTCGTATAAAAATCAGTTAAAAAATGCATCTTTTCCCAACATGTCACAGTTTGACATTTTATATAAGCAACATATTAAATTACCTCCTCTGTAACTGTATCCAATGCCCTTAAGCCAGTAAGAATCTTTTGAATTGTAATGTGTAGGTTTGTGCCAATAAAATAACGAAATTTGGACTCATGACAAGGATTATATAGATATCTAAATAATATAACTCAATACAGATATTGGTTCAGCTCTCTGAAATTACAGAATGTAGTTCTGACAAGAGGAAAAGGAAACAAAATTGTAAAAACAAAACTGGAAACAATAATTGACTTCCTATTCTGACATTCAACTTGATCACAAATGAATCATCTATTCTATGCTACTATAATAAAACTAAAATCACAATATACACATGTAAAAAGTATCAATAATACATATTTGTGACCTGTAATTATATTGCATTAATTATAGTACATGTTACAAAGTTTGATGGTTTGACCTTAAAATACAATTGTTTGTAAATTTCACACATCTTTTTAAATTGGTCATAACAATGTGTACATTTAATGAATAGCTGCTGTTGACTAGTTTATATTAACATACAATTCTGAATTCCATTTATAACAAATATGTGTTAAACTGATGACTCAATGTTGGGACTTGGGAATTGGGACATATATGTAAGTGTGGACCATCAAAGATTTTCTATTGACAATTAGAGCCTTCATCTCTGGAAACATGTGTCCCTGAACTGAATATAAGGGTCTGGATAGGGTTTCAGATTGAGAAAAATGGGCAAAATGTGCAGAACAAATGGCCAAAAAAATAAGAAATAGAAAAAATAGGGCAAAAAATAAAGAATAGAGAATAACGTGGTGCTAAAATATAAAGAATAGAGAATGATGGGCAAAAAATAAAGAATAGAGAATAACGTGGTGCTAAAATATAAAGAATAGAGAATGATGGGCAAAAAGTATAAAGAATACCAAAAAAAAGACCAAAAACTTTAAAGGATACAGAAATGAAGGACCCCCAACCAGACCCTTGAATATGAGTTTCAAAACCTTCTTACTTTCTTTACAGTGAAAAAATATCAGAAGTTAAGGCTTTTTTAATACACTGTTTTGATTGATTGAATGACTGATTTTATGAAGAAGTGAAGCATAGTAAAGACTCAAGAGTTTTTTTTCAGACATTAACTCTGAAATAAATATAGGATAAAAAGGCTACACCTATGACCTATGTCTATCTGAAAATTACTTTTAAAGAAAAGGCATATTTCATCAATGGAAAAAAGTGTAACAATCGGTTAAAAGTAAATCTAATGGTATTGCTTCATTGTACCTGAAGTCAATTTGAACTCTGATGAATCCATTCCATGTACTAAGTTTGTCTTATCCTACTACTACCCACCCAATGACATGTAATACTGTGGATTCATTATTATTCGTTGGATACCAATTTTCGTGGATTTTGTGGGTTCAGGGAAACCACAAATTTTAGTGAACAACGATTTACAAATATTATGTATGCAGACTTTGGCAAAACCATGAAATCTAATATCCACTAGAATGCAACTTTTCCACAATCAACCAAAAGTGGTACCCTCGAAACTAAATGAATTAACAGTAAAATTACATCTAATCGAATGGTTCAAGCCTCAATATCAATTCACTATTACATGTACCAAATTAAGTTTCCCCATCAATATGTTTTGAACAAAGTTGTTGTGACTTTCAATGTTTCATCTTGAATATTTGATTACCGGTATATAAAGGTCTAAACTTGCTCCTGTCAGGAATTCTCTCGCACCATAAAATATATTGCTACCACTATGACAATTAATAATATCAAACCGATACCAATCAATAGAATTCTGTTCTGTATAATTCTACAAAAAAAATGTCATTTGGTTAATTATGAACAAACAAGAAAATAAACTGATTTTGAATTATTATAAAATAATAGATATTTTGAACTGTATATATTTGGATTTTATTGTGTGTGTTTAATTTTTACTGTAAGCTTGGTAAACAGAAAGTGAACCCTGAAAATATTTTTCTTTTTACTGAACTTATTTGTGAATAACTAATAATAAAATGCTTTGCTGAGCACAGCTGGATACGATCGCAGAGGTCCAAACCTGAACAGTTGGGGCGAAAATGGACACAATATTCAAGCTTGATACAGGTCTGAATTTGGATTGTAATTAAATATTTGACACATAATAGGTTTCTGACACCGAATAACTGTAGTCAAAGAACTTAGAATTGGTTATATGATTTGAATTTATATTCAATTTTTTGCTTTTGTGCAATACACTATGCTGTTGCGAATTCACCCCCCCCCCCCCCCCCCCCACCCCCCCCAAAAAAAAAATTAACACCCTTTTTTTTTTTGCTTTAGTGAAATACACTATGCTGTTGCGTATTGCCCCCACCCCCCCCCCCCCCCCCCCCACCCCCCCCCCTCCCCCCTCCTTTTTCCAAAAAAAAAATTCTTTCCCTCAAGATATGGTCATAATCTCAATTCAAATTTCCAATGGAGTTTGCAACCATAATAACCAATTTAAATACATCATAAAAGTCTTAAATAGATAATTTACAAGCAGTGTAAGGGAGGTAATCCAACATTGTACAACATTGTACAATTTTGTTTTTGGATTACCTCCCTTACGCTGCTTTCAAATTGTCCATTAACGAGGAAACCCTTGTTTTTTCCCCCTTTTTTGCCCCTAATTCCTAAACGGTTTGAGCCATAATCCCCCAATGAAAATCCTAACCATCCCTTTGTGGTATGGAAACTTGTGGTATAATTTCAGAGAGATCCATACACTTAAACACAAGTTATTGTCTGGAAGTTACAAAAATGCTTATTTTTGGCCCCTCATTCCTTAACTGTTGGTACCATAACCCCCAAAATCAATCCCAACCGTCCTTTTGTGGTATTGAACCTTATTGTAAAATTTCATAGAGATCCATTTACTTAAACTAAAGTTATTGTGCGAAAACCAATGTGTCTTCGGACAACGACGACGCCAATGTCATACCAATATACGACCGCAATTTTTTTTACTGTCGTATAAAAAATTATTCATAAACCTATATTATCCTGCTTCTTCTTACTCAAAGATTGTGAATAAAAACTGGTCTGAAAATATACTGATTTACATAATTATCAAGAAGAAAATTTGCATTAATAACCTCAAAATAATTTCTGAATTTACAGTAATTCTCGTCTTTTGGCATTTTCTTCAAATGTTTTTCTAATATATTTTTTTTATTGAAGATAAAAAAATAGTGTGCTTATTCTTTGTATGAATTTTTTTCTAAGCACTTACAATTCAAGAACCCCTGTATTATATGTAGTTATAATTTCTATAATATAACACATAATCATTCTGCTGAAATTATTTTCTGATAACATGTGATCTATTTATGTGATGACTAACCTTTTCATCATGCCTGAGAGAAGTCGTGAACTTTTCCCTAAATTTGCATTCATCTCACCTAACTGAAAGAAGAAGAAATATACAATGTAGTTATTATATTTTGAAATACATTTTTTTCCATATCATTCACTTCAGTTCAAAAACTAATAATTTAATCTGATGAATGGGGAGTTGCCAACACAATATAATGCACTATGATATAATGTCACACAAGTATTCTCTGATAATTTCATGTATCCTAGAAAGGTTGCAATCCTATACATAGTATTTGATTAAGCATCCAGAAACCACGTAACTCAGAAAATTTCGGTCTATTTTTAGTAACTAATAAACTATGACTCTGACAATGGATGAAGTGACCTAAAACTCAATAGGGATCTTTCTCTCATTATATGTGACCATATATCCAAGTTACCTTGCAATATAATATTTAGTAAATGAGTAAATTCCAAAAAATAAAATGACTGACAGACTGACTGATGGACAGGCATCTGCCGCATGTCATTAACTTTAAACCCCTGCTCCTTAATAAATTATAGAATCTAATTAATTCTAATATCAGTAGAAGTGTAGATTTTCTGGCTTGTTATTGAAGAAGTAAAAACAGTTCTGATAAAAAATAATAAATCTCATGAAATTTTCACTGAAATCCACTGTTGATAAATGCAGAGTAATTGATGATGAACAATCAGACAAGTAACTAAACTCCATCAACTTCTAAAATATGAAGAGCTTATCCACCTTTTTGAATACCATTTACATTATCTTTCAATATTCAACAATAATCATCATTGGTATTATACAACATCATAAATGTCAGACTTTCAACTTTTTTTAATTTAAAACTAAAATCTTTAAACGCCTTTCACAATCATTATCATAATGCAAACATTTCATTTCAATGTGCGATTATACAAAAATTCTTATCATATTAATGGAAATAATTTGATGGGTTTTTAAAACAGTCCAATGCATTTAAAATGTATCCTAATTATATGCCAAGTATCAATATTCTTACCCTACTCCTTGACCTCTGTATACTTTCTCTCTGATTTGAAAGATCTTCTATAACCTGTGCACCAATTTGTTCTAAAAGATATTGTCAATCCCCATTACAAAATCTCTTACTGTCAGAAATAATTTATTTAAGCATTGTCTTGATCTTGATTTTTGTTATTCCTTCAGACTATAATAACTGTACATATTCTTGGATTATCAGAGGTGGGTTTATGGAGCTATATATATGATTTATGTATAGACTTTTTACAAGTCCCCCTCCTATCATTGCTTTGGTGTCCATTCCTGCCCTCTCTGATTATTTATATAATTGTGATAGGTGTGTAATATCTTAGCAACAAACTAGCTCATGAAATAGTTCAGATTCCAAGGATAATATGTAGAACATATTAGTCAATATATATTTGGTCTTATTTTCATAAAATGCATATTAAACCACTAAAACAACTAGAGCCATTATCACAGTGTGTAACATGATTATATGTATCCACATACATTTATCCAACAAAACTGTTAAAGAGAATTAATGAAAATTCATCAAATTCATGAAATTCATGAAATACAAGGAAATATCCAATATGTCAAAGGAAAGCTCTTTTATTGAGGTTTTCAACTAGACAGTTGCAATGTTTACTATTGTTCATAGAATGTTCGTGAAAATTAGTATTCAGTCACCTAAACTATTTCACTGAATTTTTTTAGTTTTTGTAATAAGTACATAAAAGAGTAAATCATACATGCTTTCATAAACATCTACCAGCCACCAACAGGAACAATGAACTGATAATTTGGTTTATAGCATAATCTAGACAATATTGATTGATATACTTGTACCATGGGTTCTTCCATATGATTTAGGTCGATCCTTCTACTCATATAGGTAATAATACTGATTAAAACCAACCTGTTTCTAGAGTAACTTTATATCCATGTTCTATTCTTCTTGTAGCTCTGTCTAACATCTCTGTGTTATCTAGCAATCTTCTTCTCTGGAAAGATGAAAATTAAATTGCATTTAAACAAGGAAATCTCATAAGGGACATGAGGCATTGGCCCAAGAAAATGAAATTTTGTAAAGCTACTTCAAATTGCACATAATATAGGAAATGTAACTATCAAAATCTAATGCCAATCTTCAATAAAAACTGAAATGTAAAAAAGATACAGATACATTACAATATTAAACTACTGGTACAACTTTAAGACAAAAATAAACAATGTATTTAAATGAACAAACCTGATCCTCTGAGTCATGTGTATCATCACCTAATAATTCATCTCTACTGCTATCTATACCTAACTTTGCTCTTCTCTGGAAAAATAATAAAAATAATGTTTTTATACAAGTGGAAAGTGTAACTACTAAACAACTAACTTGGAATCAATTTTGATAAAAAGTTTAAATGCTATAAACTAAATCAAACAAAACTATCTATATATTTATGAGTCTGACGCCTGTGAAAACTTGAAACTCAAAATCAAACTAAATTCAAATGCTATTTACAGGAATATCATGATTATCAAGTTCAAAATTTTAAAAAAGATAAATTGCCTAAAAAAGTTCTCACCAAAATAGGATGTTGTACAATAGTAAATATAAGAAAGATGTTGAAATGTTGTTGATTTTGCAACTATACTCACACATGTAACCGGGGTAGCTTCTGGGGGCACGATCTAAAACCCCCTACCATATGAAAATAAAATAATATTAGTAAAGGCTTTTAAAGTTGAGATTAAGATTGAAGTTCAAGTCATGTCCCTAAATAACCCCCTGCAAAGACTTCCTGGCTAAGTGCCTGCAACTTAATGACCTACTATGTAAAGCAGAAATGGTTGGTTCATACTAGGTACATACCACATCAGTTTCTAGCTTGGTAAGTTCCACCTGGTAACTTTTTACTCTAGTTTTATATTTTTGTCTATCTGTTGTTAAGTCTTTCACTTCCAGGTCCATTTGCTCCAACTGAAATATAATCAGGAATGGGAGTATTAATTAGTAGGAAAATTCAAACTTTCCGTTGAAAAGATAAGCACAAATACAATATTTCCAGCCAACTTTTCACGCTGGAAGTACATTATTTACTTTTTTCAGTTCCAAAAAATTATACCTATACATTTTAACAGAATTTCTATCACATAACTTTTTCCATTGTGTGTTTTTAACTGTATATAATTTCTTTCATTGATCAAGCTAGATATGGGTACAGTTGAGTTCAGTTAAGTACACAAAAGTATTTTTACTCATGTTCATGATTTGTGCCTGTCAATAATCTGGTGGTGTCATTGTCTTTTTAGAGAATTTGGAGTTGATATTAAATACACAATCACCCTATCAATGTTTCCCACTTCTCTAGACTTAGGGCTATTTAGAGGTTGCTGTAAGAAATGGGCTTTTGTAAATTGCTAACTGACTTCTGGCAACCAGTTTTATTCCTCTATGTTACTGATATAACTGTCTTATTGACATTTACCCCACAACTCCTATTATCCATATTTACTGTCAATTCAACTAGAGATACAGCAAGCAAAACTAAAAATATTAATACTCCATTCCCTTTCTATTCATCTTTATAATGAAGTGTAATATTGACCTTGACCTTGCAGACAAACATTCTAACCTTATTCACAACACACTGTATGGTGGCAACAATAATGTCAAGCATCATAATATCTTTCAAGGCATTCAAAAGTTCTGTGTGAGACTATATTTAAAACTTTATTCATGCCTTGACCTTGCAGACAAACATTCTAACATTATGCCCAACACCACCTCTGGTTAGGGGCAACAATAATACTAAGTATAATAAATATCCTTCGATGCATTCTAAATTTCAAAGTCAGACACAACTATGCATATTTGAATATGGTCATTGTGGATGTTAAGTTAAACTACTGGGTAAGTTTGTGACCTTGCCCTTGCAGACAGAGATTCTAACGATATTCACAACACACTCTCTGGTGTTGGGCAACAATAAGACCAAGTATCATTAATATCCTTCAAGAAATAAATTGGAAACATTTTGCACAGACGGACAGACAGACAGAAAGATTCTTGAATACCCTAATCGAAAATTTGTTTGCAGGTGTTTAACAACCCTTTTACCTTTGATTAAATACATTTTTTATTTTCGTGAAGGGCCAAATAGTTCAGTGTTTAAATCAGTTTAGGTTATGTTTTGGGAACCTTAATATCATTAAAGGTCTTGGCAAGAATTAGGTTGCATGTTATTATTTGTTCTTGGTGGTAATAGTATACATATAGTTCTGGGTCATAGCCTCCTAAAGTATAAGAAGACCCTAATAATACCAACCAATTCCTTTGCTTCATCGAACAATTTTTCCACCTGTCTGACATATTTCTGCTTTTCAGCTGTAAATAAAAAAGAAATTTATTTTATTGCTGATTTCTCCTAAAATTTCACAAACACTCTTAAAATTTCACAAAAATAAAACTATCTTCATACATATCTGTGCTTCCTGCATAGCAAAGTCAAAACAAAAGTTACTAAGCATTTCTATGGTTTCAATTTAATCTGTAAGTGATTCAAACTGACTTCAATCAAACCTATCACTTTGCTCTGTTGGATTTGTTTGGCAACTTCTATTTAACATTTCATCAGAATTATTCTTGGAAGATTCTCCTTATAGCAAACATGGACTGAACCATTTGTGCAATACGTATATTTTCATGGTGTAATTATATAATTGGGTCTAAATCAAAACAAAAACATCAAATATATAAGATTTGTAACTTCAGATTACTGTATGCTAAATATAAGCACAGTACCGTAACCCTGCAGATGGCTGAAATCTTTACAAAAATTGTTATTTTTGTGACATTTTAACAAGGTATTAATCAAAGCTCTGTCAGTACTGTAAGTAAGTCCAATTGTTGTCGATAACAAAAACTAAGCATTTCAGCATAACAATAAATCATCTATTTACCATGTTTACAAATGTCTTATTCAACGACAAAACAGTTGTTTGAAGCTCTCTTTTCAACTATTGAAAGGGATATATATATATATATACATTTTATTCAATTAAACCCACAAGCACAAGATACTGATGTCAAAAATTTTACCAATTGCTGTGGAAGAACCAGTCAAGCCATCAATGTTAGTAGTGCATAAACGGGACAAACAGCATACTGACAAAATTCCACTTGATGTTTAGTAGGTTTTGCTTATAATTTCTGTACATTATAATTGTCATAAGTCATTTGAAAAGTAAGGTAATTGCCAAATGTCCTATTCAGAGGCAAATTTAGGGGGGGCCAGGGCCCACCCCCACCCCCTTTTCTGGGAAAAATTTGGTTGATTATATAGAGGGAATCACTGAAGCATGACCGGAGCGGGCCCCCTCTTAGTCAGTCAGTGGGCCCCCACTTATGAAAATTTCTGGATCTGCCACTGCTATTACAATTTCTTAATATAGCTCTTCTAATTATTCCACTTTTTAAACATATTGATAGTTTAATCAATATTTGATTGGTTGAGACTACCCCACGTGTCATTGAACAAATCTTCATATTCCATTCTGAGGATCATATTCCCCTCTGAAATGTCGTGATTACTTTGTGCGACGTTACGCGCGGTTAATGTACATAACGTTTTGAACTTCTTATTCTTCTTAAAATAGCGATAGCAAAAATCATTATCATGTTCAAATTTATTTCAGACGATTAAACAAAAAGACTTATAATTAAATTTTGATCCTTACTGTTTATCAATGGGTATGTCGTGTTTAGTTTGACTTACAAAAACAAGCGGATAAGGAAAAAAATGTATGCAAAATAACATTTAATGTATTGATAGTAAACAAAGCATAGGCAGTGGAATAAAACATTCATTTCCCTTTGCCTTGGGAGATATGAAGATTTGCTCACCCTCGAAAAATCATATTGCCCTCGGGCAGAGCCCTCGTGAAATATGAATATTCTTGGGTGAACAAATCTTCATATCTCCCTCCGGCACGGGAAATAAATGTATAATATTTTCTTTTTCTTGACAGTTTAATATACAGATGATATGCTATCATCATGATCATGATTTATAAACATTTTTACATTTTTTTTACAATTCAAAAATTACTTAATTTTCAAGTGATTTGTAATAATAAATATGTATATAAATTGTAAGCAGCACTATACTAAACCTCAATTGGAATTGAAATAAAATAGGATTAATATTTATTGTTAGTATGTTTTTTTTTCACTGTGCAATACTAACATAAATGCCTCTACAACAGTTTGGTAAACTTTCTCACTAGTTGAACAGTTGGATTTGATGAAACAAAATCAATTGACTCAAAATTTTGTATGAACTGCATTAATTGGAGATGAGTACTTTAAATCAAACAGTTAAAGTTTTCAAGATAATAATTTAAACATAACATGAGATTTGGTAAAAAAGGTCATTTCAGGACAAAAACTCCATTCAGAATGAGATGTCTGACTTTTGACATGTTTGACTGTTTCAGTCCTATTAAGAATTTTTGTATTGCTGTTCATTTTTGATGCATACAGTTTTGATCTATTACATTGTTCAAGTTTATAAGCATAAACACTAAAAGGAAAAGGCATGGTAAGGTAACTTTTTTGGGCCATTGAATTCAAAGTGCTAGTGTGCACTTAGGGGTAAAAAATTGTCTTTATTTTGCAGTGTAAACTTTAAAAAAGATGTTTTAAACAAAGATACATATTTGGAGGCAATATTTGGAATTGAGATATATCCCTTTGTCTAAAATTGTAAGTAAAACAAATATGTTTTGTACATTCATATACATGCCAGGCATGCTTTTTTGCAACACATGTGTATTCTTGTTTAAATGGTTATTTTAAAAGTATGGACTAGCTAGCACACATATACATCATTTAGTAAATGTGCATAACTTGTGTATAAAATAATATCCATGCATGAAATAGTTGCCACTGGATGTTAAAAAAACAAAAATCAATCACTATCAAATAATATATTATAAGCAAATTGCTTGACACCAGCATGGGTAGGATCTAAAGAATGTTAAGAAGCTGACTGTGTGTACTCACTATTACAACTCGAGAAGATGGCTGAAATTTATAACCAGCCAGTGACTATAGGGATTCAATTGCAGTTAATAAACTCCTTATACAAATAATTTCATTGAAATGACTTTTTTTTCATAGTGCATTGAAGATGCATGATAAAAGCCATTATTTGGACCCTAAAATTGAAAATGCAGTAAAAATTCTTTTAATCTTTTAAAAATTTATGTTTATATTATTGATTACAAACAGGACGATAGACACTTAAGTGAAGAAATGTCAGGTGTGTGACACTACAATGTTATTAACATGTCAAAATTTATATAGCTGATCTTACATGTAGCTGGGAAACTGTAGCTCTTATGGTCCTTGTGATAATTTTTAGTGTGCTTCATCCACAACCAAAAAATATCCTAAGGACTCATTGAAGTTTTGGTTCCACAGCTAATTCAATAAAAAATATCAATTTTACACTTATATATCAATACATAGTAGCTGTGGAACCGTTGCTTTTATAGTCTTTTGTATTTGCAACCATAATGCAACAAAATATCAAAATGATCATAAGAACTACTGTTCGTCTGCTATATATATATATCATGTATATGTAAGCCTTAAGAGATATTAATCCACATCTGAGATGGTAATCTCAGTCCACATACATCTTTAGTCAGGTGCAGGACAACTTGGCCTGAAGACAATTGGATCGTCTATGAAAAAGACAACTCAGACTGTCTAAGGAGACAACTCAGACTGTCAATAAGTAAGCTCGGACAGTCTATAAAGTCAACTCAATGTCAATAATGCCAACTCAGACAAAATATTAAACGAGAGTTTTGACTATATAAATGAGTGTATAGGAAAAAGGCAACTCAGTCTGAGTCAGACCGTCTATAAAAACAATTTAGAGCTTGACATTTTGTGTAGACATGTTGTATCTTTATATTGTTGAAGTTTGGAATAATTAAATTTACATAATCTATTGTTGATTTAATCTTATTCAATTATGTATTTAGGTAAAATGTAATGAGGTTATAATAAACAAATATATAATAAATAATGAATTCAATTAACGAATAAGTTAAGTTTGTTTACATTGTAACATGTTTTAATGAATTATTAAATAAAGATTTCATTTAAAATATATCCCTTACCAAAATGAAATCCTTTTAAATACCATTGTTTTACCATTTTTTTCGTACCATTTAAATAGCACAAACTCTTCATGTATGTTAAAACTGTATATAAAAGTTCGTATTAAAGACAATCCAAGTTGACTTTTAAACAGATTTGAGGTAAAAAACAAAATAAATATGCAATGATATAAAAATATAAAACTTGATTTTTTGGCATCTAAATAAGTTTTGTAATAAATAAATAAAGATAAGCAGAAATAATAATTTTTTTTTGCAAATAACGTTTAATCGTTATCATTCAAATAGTCTATACTTTTTTTTATTTATTTGGCTGTGCTGACATTATAGACTGTCACATGACTGTCTGACCTATTAGCTGGTCCAAGTTAACTGGGCTGGTTACGAGTATTGGACAAGGTGTTTCAGACGAAAAGAGGGGTCTTATAATCAGCTACTCTTCCTATTCCATGCTTAATAGAAGAATGGCGGTCAGTGTTTCAATTGAAAAGAATTTAGCGGTCATGTATAATCTGGCACAGGATGAGATTTACAGTGTTACTGTTATGATGATGGAAGTTTTTAACGACCTTGACTGGCTATACAGCCCTCGAACGGTCGGTGTGTTACTGTTATACATGTACTTATGACACTTATAGTAGACTAAGTAGTCTCAGGCACAGGTGTGTATTTTGAGGACTGTTAATGAAAAATCAACTACATTGAAAGGAATTAAGGCTGCTGTTTTTTCTTTCTTACATACCTCCTCTTGTACTTGAAATATTGTTAATATTATGTGTTATTTCTGCTGTTAATGTGGCATATTGTTGTTCATAAGTTTCAATCAATGAAGCCATATTCAGTCCGCAACCATTCCGGCTCTTAACATTTGACTTCCGCTTCCTCCTTTTCACACAAATTTCCCAAGGTGCGCTACAGCAAGTTAACTTCAAACATAAATCCCCTCGATTCTTTATTCTTGTTAGTCCATCTGACTTTGTTTTCATCATCACAAATAAAACTGTTGTTCCACGAAGCCGATCATTGACATATTTAGCTCATAATTACTATTTATGGTTGAAAATTTAATCCTTCTCCGGGGATATATCCCTTTACTTCTATGATATAAATCTTTATACCGTATACGACGTAAAACCCCCCAAAAATGTTTTCTTTATACAGCAAAATTGTTGCCTAACACAGTTTTGATATGCTAAATGCACTATTTAGATACTGAATCTAAATTTCCTGAAAAACCGACCATTCTGATCTGATTTTCCACAACTTGGCACAACTAAGCACAAGCCATATACATGTAAATGTAAGCAAATGTTATGGTAGTCAACAGGCCTCTATAAACACTTAACATTAAACTGATATATAGCATTCCATGTTTAGTTCAGTGAACATGTAGTCCATACAATTTTGTTGCCTTGGTTAGGCCAAACTAATTCTGCTTGAACACTGAACCTGAAGTTTTCCTTCCTTTTTTTCTAAAAAAATTGTATTATTTTCCAGATGACTCAGCGACTTACATTTAGACGTCGCCTGTCTTACAACACCAACAGCAACAGAAGGACAGTGTAAGTAATATATGAGAAAAGAGTGAAGTTCAGACTGATAAAGTCTGCATATGAATTATACGAGTTAAAAAGTTCAAAACATTTTGTTGTATTATATTTCAATGGATAATAAAAGAGATGTGATACAATGTATGATTTCCAAATTATGTGACAACTATGAACTATAGAAGCCAAAGAGCAAGTTGAAGTATGTAAAAATAAACTACTGGTTACTGTTAAGTCGCCTTCTTCAATTAGCAAAATTCACACTTCTTACTATTTGGTATTGATTTTGATCATTGTTATTAGGCTGTACGCACAGTGACCTGTAGACAGTGTAGTTCAGTACATTCTAGTCCTTTGGTGGATGGTAGTCTCCTGCATTAATTGCCATTGGCAATCATACCAATCTATTTTTTTTTTATAAATGATTTTAACACATTATTATACTCGAAACGTATTATCCTGACAGTAAACATAAACAAGTCCCTCAAAGAAAACTGGCTTACACCGAAGAAGGTCTTTAACCTGTTTGATAATTTTCGGGTGTACATGTATAGTAGCTTTTTTTTTTTTTATCAAAACAAGAGATGAACAGTAAAGTTTAAAACCACTCTAAAACATTATAAAAAGAAGCAAATTTTTAGAAATATTCAATTTCTAAATGAATATCTTTAGCTGTCAAATGATGAGCTGTTGGTGTCATGATTTTGCAGGTGCCAGCTTTTGTTGAAAAACTAAAATAACACTACAATAAACATTGTGCTTCTCAGTGCTTTTCTGGATTTACCTTCAGTAGGAACTGTCAGTTTAATTTGAAACATTTAAATGGATTAATTTATCAAAAAATATAAATTACAACATATGGACAAGGGAAGTTTGATGAATTCAATTTTATTACTGTGTGAAGTAGGGGTAAGAAATTAATATATTCCTGTTTCTTATTGACTGTTTAAATGAAAACAAGAGACTGTACATATTAAAAATTTTGTAGAAAATTGCTTGAATTCCTGAAATTAAGAATTTAATGCTTCTTTTTGTAATTTTATTGGGATGTTAAAGGGTTGACTGAAGCACATTTTGTATGAAGCTTTTAAATTGAAACTAAAAAGGTGTGTATGATCAACCCTTTTACAACCCCATGAAATTACAAAAAAGAAGCATTAAATTCTTATTACGTTTGTATGCTACCACCATGGAAATAAGAGCTGTATCAAGCTTTTGGTTCCTTTAATTTTCAATGCATTGTCGTGACATTGTCATAGGAAGCATGTGCTGTCATGAATGCTGCATTTTATTAGTCCGCTACCGACGAAGTCGAAGAGGACTATATGTTTGCACTCTGTCTGTCTGTCCATCCGTCAGTCCGTCAAATCAGTTTTCCACACTTTTTTTGTTATGGTTGGAGATATTGATTGGATAATTGGTATAAAGTTTTACCATGACAAGTTTCAGCTCAAGTTCAAATTTATTTTGGTTAAGATGATTATTTTGCAGAGTTAAGGTCCACAGATTTAGAAAATTCACGCAAATAATCAGTTTTCCACACTTTTTTTCGTCACACTTGAAGATAATGGTTTGATATTTGTTATATGATTTACACCTTGACAATTTAAAGATCAAGTTATCATTTTTGTTCAAAAACAATGAATTTTTAACCGGTAGGGGACTGTTTTGCCATGCAATACTCTCAGAATGCTTGTTGAGAACAGATTTTGATTGTAGAACTCACGATTGTCAGATGTCATCCAATTTAAAGTATGTATTCTTATGAAACATACATGTAATGTAATTATTTTTATTTACAGATCAAAGACTCCTGGTAAGTTTTTAAATAAGATTCTTTTCTTGTTTTAAAAAAAACAAGTTTATGTATTAAAAGTTTTAGAAAATATTTGTTCTTGTAAAGATTAAAAACATTTTAACATTGATGATTTTTGTTCACCTTAAAGTTCAGATTGATTTTATATTGAGCAAACATTATTGCTTAATATGAAGCTCTAAAAAAATGCATGTCTATTTATACACTGTTCATACCATGCTCTTTGTAAATGGTTTCTTAAGTGACATGTGCATAAATTCAATCTGTATTTTAATGTTCATATCATGAAATGGTTTTATATGCACATGAATTAAATCTACGTCTTGTTCTATAGCCTTAAGTTAAAAAACTTAAAATCTGTATCTTATTTGAAGAATTATGAAAGATTGAAAAAATATTGGTTTATATTTGTTTTAATTAATTTGCTAAAAACTGTGAATTTACAGGTGGTAAACTTGTTTACCTGTACACAAAGAAGGCCGGTGCTGTACCAAAATGTGGTGACTGTAAAGTTAAATTACATGGAGTAAGTCATTTTCATTTACCTTAAAATTGAGAATGGAAATTGGGAATGTGTCAAAGAGACAACAACCCGACCATAGAGCAGACAACAGCCGAAGGCCACCAATGGGTCTTCAATGCAGCGAGAAACTCCCGCACCGGAGGCGTCCTTCAGCTGGCCCCTAAACAAATATGTATACTAGTTCAGTGATAATGGACGTCATACTAAACTCCAAATTATACACAAGAAACTAAAATTAAAAATGATACAAGACTAACAAAGGCCAGAGGCTCTTGACTTGGGACAGGCGCAAAAATGCGGCGGGGTTAAACATGTTTTTTGAGATCTCAGGCCTGCCCCTATACCTCTAGCCAACGTAGAAAAAACAAACGTACAACAGTACGCACAGTAAAACTCCGTTTAAGAGAAGTCAGAGTCCGATGTCAGAATAGGAAACAAAAGAAACTAAACAAAATGACAATAATACATAAATAACAACAGACTACTAGCAGTTACTGACATGCCAGCTCCAGACCTCAATTAGACTGTTTCAAAATGACATAGGAATTGTACCAAAAATGTCAGGATTTTACATCTACCTCTGAAAAAGTTTCAAACAATAGAAATTCTCTCAAAATTGATTTGCACTTAACTTTGCAATGAACAACTGCAAATGTTGTGAGGCAATTCTGCCAAGTTACATTCCACTTGGTTTAATATATATAGATTTTGCACTGACAAACTTCCCCATGTCAAGATATTGTATTATAAAGTCCATATTTTGCTGTCAGAGAGAATCCCTCAAATAATTGGATTTAAAAAATAAGAATGTGCCAAACTACACATTGTATGAAGCTATTCTGTCCAATTTCTTTTTTTTTTTCCAATGTGAATATTAGATCTTTGGTTGCCAAACCTTTGCAATGGAATTGATGAAATTTTCTTCTGGATATAACGGTTGGGAACATATATATTGTGTACAGTTAACATGCAAACTGTTTCCTAAAGTTTTTATACGCCCGTTTACGGGATGTATTATGGTATACCTTTGACCGTCCGTCGTCAACATGTCGGACATTAATTCAAAAACGCTTTAACCAATATCCATGAAACTTTGTTGAATTGTTTATATCTATTGACGTGAGCTCCCTTTCATTTTTTATAAATTTCGGATTCACCGTTTCCAAGTTTTTGGGTTTTATTCATTAAAAAAGGGGGGATTTTCCAGTTTTCGGACAAGAACTCAAAAACAATTTCACCAATTTGCAAGAAACTTTGGTGAATTGTTTATTTCTATCGACATGAGCTCCCTTTTGATTTTTATAAATTTTAGACTATACATTTCCGATTTATGGGGTTTTATTCATTACAAAATGGGGGATTTTCCAGTTTTCGGACAATAACTAAAAAATGCTTCAGCATTTTTTATGAAACTTTGGTAAAGTGTTTATATCTATCTTTGTAAGTTCCCTTTTGATTTTTATAAATTTTCGATTTTACGTTTCCGAGTTATAAAATTTTATTTGTTTATAGTCTTGACAACAGATTTACTAAGTATTGCGCAACAGCACAGTGTATTGCACAACATCTTTCATATAACCAATTTCAAGTTCTTTGACTACATTTATTCAGAAAACTATAATATGTCAAAAATTTAATTACAATCCAAATTCAGACCTGTATCAAGCTTGAATATTGTGTCCATTTTTGCCCCAACTGTTCATGGTTGGACCTCTGCGGGCGTATCCAGCTGCGCTCAGCGAAGCAGTTTATTAATATCAAACAAACATTAATAAAGATTAATAACTACTTGTCAATTTTTTCAGATTACTCCTGCAAGACCACTTGAGCTATCTGCAATGTCAAAGAGACTGAAGACAGTAACAAGAGCTTATGGAGGGTCTAGATGTCACAGATGTGTCAGACAGAGGTAATCATCACAGGAAGCCATTGATTGCATTAAGATAGTGCATATCAGAAGGCTATATTTAGGTTCATCAAAAGGATTTGAAAAACATGGCCATGTTTACACCACAAAATCTACTATTAGTACAGACAAACTGATGCATCTAGGAAAGTTTTAAGACATGTCAGAACCTAGATATATAAAAGTTTTATGTAGTCTATGTTTCAGAAAATTAAAACTTACCTGGATTTTGATGTGCATTTTTTTGCAGTCTGCAGAAGATAGCAAAATAAACAAACACACGAATTTCATTTGATACAGTCCACTCAGTTACAGTTTAAATCATTCATTGTTTGCAGATGTCTATTGTCCATTTAAATCAATACTACTCACAACATTAATTATATGAGGGGAGCTTCTCAAACCTCTTTCCCAACTTAGTTTATTTGGCACCTTCTGCAGGAATGAAACAAAATGAATAGCAAAATCCATAAAAGTTTATTAATTTCTGAAACACAAAATTCACTTAAAATTTAATTATCTAGTACCTGCCATGCCTTAAAACTTTTTTTAAGGTGTACAGGTTTGTCTGTAAAATTTGTGGTGTAAATACGGCCATATTAGCTAAAAGGTTATGATGAACCTTAAGGAAGAATGTCATCTCATTTGGCAACTAGTCTGT